ATACGTCCGGACCTACTTTAGGAACAAGCAGGACGTCACCATCCTCTCCTCCTGGAAGGATCCCTCCTGTTGATGGCTTGACAGATTTCAGGGGACCAGGCAGATCTCAGGAGTTTCGGACTCTTGCCAGATGCATGGGCTCCCGGAACTCGAAGATCATATGGGTCAGCTTGGAGATCTTGGGCTGCCTGGTGCCTGGCTAGGGACGTGGATCCTGTTTCAGTTCCTGTAACGGCAATTCTCCAATTCCTCACATCTCTGTTTGAAGCTGGCCGGGCCTATCGAACAATAAATGTATACAGGTCAGCCATTTCTTCAGCCCATCAGGGTTTCGAGGGTTGTCCGGCATGATCCCTTAGTATGACGGCTTCTGCGTGGCTTCCGCCTATCTCGCCCACCTAGACCATGATACTCCTCTACATGAGATGTCTCCATAGTGCTATCATTGCTTGCCTCATAGCCATCTAATGCAGACCTTTCCTTGCGCCAATTGGTGAAATTGGTCACACTGCTTTGCCTGGTATCCTGTAAGAGGGTTTTGGATGTTCGTGCCTTGGATTTCGACTCTTGCTCCTTCACTCCCGACGGGGTGACTTTTAACCCCTTAAGGACACATGACATGTGTGACATGTCATGATTCCCTTTTATTCCTGAAGTTTGGTCCTTAAGGGGTTAATATATCCAGACGCACGAAGACTTCGATTCGATCGGTTACTTATCCGGCCTTCCCTTCGGCTCCAGCATTGTGCCCGGTGGCTTGTTTACACGAATGAGATTTGCACTGAGCCGCATCGGTCGCCATCTAAGCCTCATCTTTTTCTATCCCTTCGACCTCCTTTTTCCCCGGTGACGAGTACTACCATGGCTCGTTGGTTTAAATGGGTGTTGTAACAGGCGGGTGTTGACACTTCAGAGTTTGGAGCCCATTCTGTCTGGGGTGCTTCAGCCTCATCGATGATGACCTCGGGAGCACGGTTGAAGGACCTGATGAAGAAGGCAGACTGGTCTCGGGAAACTACTTTCCATGAATTTTATTTTCGACCGGTGACTCGTGTTTTTTCTACGGTTGTCAGTCAGCTTTGAACTTGCAATATGAGCCTCTGTGTCTTGTTATAAAATTACATTATTTTGCTATTGCATGACGAAAAGTCATGATTTTATTAAAGACACGGAGACGAGTATTATCTCACCCTAGATACACTTCTGTCTTAGTTTATATCTACCCTCCCTGGTATGTTTGTTTATGTTTGGATAAGGTTTGGGATATTATTGCTAAAGCCTTTATGATCAGTTTATATTTAGTATTTGGTATTGTTCTTGGGTCTCATGATTGTCTGATAAAAGGGTCTATCTCTACCTTAAGATCGCAGTTGCAAGGACTGAAATAACCGTGTGGTTCCTGTCTATGTTTTCACAGCCTAATTCGGACTGGTTTGATGAACTCCAACTGATTATATAATGGAATCATCTATGCGATTTCTTATTTCCTGTGATGGATTTGTCAGAGTTCATTGGATTATTACCTGGTTGGACTCCGACTGGATTTAAAGGCAGTTGTTATTGTGCAGTTGAGCTGATTCCTAAGTTCCTGTCTGATGTTTATTATTATTTCTTACTGTTTTGTATTCTTTGCTGCTATTGGTGGACAGTAAAGAAAGGGATATGCAATACTCGCCTCTGTGTCTTTAATAAAATCACGACCTTTCGTCATGTAATAGCAAAATCATGTAATTATCTCTCAGTTACCGTGAAATGCAGAAACCATACAAAAAAAAAAAACCCAAAACATATTCAGAATTTACAGGAACCCCAAATTGCGCTCAGATCCGTTTGATAGAACAAAATCGCAATTCCGGAAAAGTTCTGATTGGCTGCCCACGAGGCAATGGCCCAAAATAGTTCCATGGAATTTAGGAAAATGGCCGGTCTCCTATTGAGGGTTCTTATGCGAACACCAAGAAATGCTCCCTCTGGCTTCTAAGGATCAAATACTCCCCCCAGTCGGTAATTACTATCTCCTGTACGCCATTTGCCTAGTTGGTTGGGAAGTTGAAAGGGCAGCGGTACCATATTTACGGGGTTTGCGAGACCGTGTGGCCAAAAACAGATCCAGGAGTTCGAAAACCATGTACCGCTGCCTGCATTCGGGAGACAAAATGGCTGCCATGCACTGGTCCACGTGCATTTGGCCACCCAGGGAAAGCATTCAAGTTTATTACTTAATTTGTGGTCAACAGCCAGAGGAGGTATAAAAAGGGGGACAACACACAATCCATTCGGGAGACAAACAAGGGTGTACGGACAACCGAACACAAGGGAATGAAGTATGCTACACTTTCCTAACCTGTATAGATTTCCTGGCAATATACTGTATTTACGCCAATCTAATGTGCCATCGAATCTAATGCACACCTCAATTTTTGAAACCTGGAAGCTGAAAAATGTTTTGTGCTATAATGAAAATGTTTATTGCCACATACCATAGAAACATTGATGGTATTTCAATTTTAGTGTTACATGTTAAGTCTATTCTTTCGTAAGCCCTCTTTCAGGAACTAAATTTGCCAGTGTAAATTCGCCTGTTTAAATTCACCAGTTTTAATTTGCCTGTTTGAATACACCAGTGTGAATTGGCCTGAATGAATTTCGCTGGAAAGCAATTCGCCAGAAAGTTTAGAATTTTGCTCCGGATGTAATGCACCATTGAATCTAATGCACATTAAAATTTTGTAAACTTCATTTTTTTTTTTTTTTAAGTGCGCATTAGATTTGAGTAAATACGGTATTTTCCGTGGCTAATGTGACATGTTGATTCTTCAAGCTGTCAGGGGTGTAGAAAAGCTCTTGCTGACTGAGGGGGCTATTATTTTTAAACTGCTGGAGGGTCTTTTTTTTTTTAATTCAGGTTCTTTTACATTTTATTTTAGTACAGTTGTGTCTAGGAAGGATTTTGTGTGATGTCTTTGTCTGAATATAGACAAATTCAAGCAACACTGTGATGTGGAAGTATGAAGGTTTAAATTTTACTTACCGAAAATTTATTTTTCCTTAGGGATTAGAGGCCATGCACAACAACTGGGATTTCCTCTAAACGGGATCGAAATTGCAGGTATAAGACTGGACTAAAACCCTTAAACCTCAAAAAATGCAAAAGCCAAATAACTGCAAAAATTATTTTAATAAATGGGGAGAGAAATACATCTACTGCCTCTAATCCTGAGGAAAAATACATTTACCAATGAAGCTTTCGAAGCCATAAGACCTTTGTTTTTCCCCTGAAAAAGGATGAACAACAGATTTTCCAGATAGAGCTGTAGGCAGCGTTTAACATACAGGCAATGGAATTTACATTCAGTAGAATTTTGTGGGTTCTGGCAAAATGTAGGAAGAACAATTTCAGGACTACTTTATCCAAATAAAAAAACAGGTATGGTGGCGAAAAGGCCAAAGCCTGAAGTTCCCCCAGACATTTTGCAGAAGTCACTGCAACTAAAAACACTGTTTTTAAAGTAAAAACCTTTGGACTGACAGAAACCAAGGGTTCAAAAGGGGCTTCACATAAAGCGGTTGGAACAATATTTAAATCCCAAAATTGGAGGAACCAATTCCCGGATGCAGTCTAGAAACTGCTTTTAACCCCTTAAGGACCAAACTTCTGGAATAAAAGGGAATCATGACGTGTCACATATGTCATGTGTCCTTAAGGGGTTAAAAACCTGGAGATAAGAGCATCTGAAGCCAAGTCTCAAATACAAAAAAAACAAAACCAAATAGCTGAGATATAGACATACTAGGTATGTGCGCGGTTCTTAACAACCGTTTTTTGTCGGCACTGCACAAGCCGGCAATTCCGGCGATGTGATCGCGAGGACCCCGTGATCACATGGCACGGGAGGGCCAGATCGGGCAGTGGGCTTCTGCTTGAGCTCCCAGGCAGACGCCAGGATCGCAATGGCCTGCGGGGGATCGCCAGCGATCAGGTAAGTGGCAATTTACTATCGGACGTACCAGGTACGTCGGAGGTCGTTAACGACCATTTTTTGTCAGAAGGGATTAAGTGTAGCAGGATATAGGCCTGTAACAAACCTAATTGAAGGAGCTTTAAAACCTGAGGAACAGAGGCAGAAAGGGGATGAACACCCATACCATAATACCACAAGCAGAATTTCTTCCAGATTCTAGTGTAAACCGTAGAAGTGGAAGCTTTCTTAGCGGCTTACAGGATATCGATCACTTCAGGACTCAATCAGCTTGATCTCAGGATCTGGCATTTAGATACCAGGCTGTTAGTTGGAAGGTCTGAAGGGTTTTCAGAGGAACCAGACTGTGTTCCAGAATGCTTTCTGTCATAGGAAGTTTCAAAAACACAATGTTGGATAGGTTCAATAGGATGGAAAACCAACTTCTTCGAGGCCAGAAGAGGAGAATTGCATTTATCCTTGATCTGTCCCTGATGACCTTTTGTAGAACACAAGGGATGAGGATAACCAGAGGGAATATGTATGCCAGTGGAAAATTCCACTGAATCAACATAGCATCCAGGAAGTCGGGCGTGTCTGTCGAACTGATAGATGAAAATCTTTCTGTCTTCTTGTATACCCTTGAGGCCATGAGATCTATTACTGGATTTCAAAACTTTGCCACAATTTCCCCAAAAAACACAGAAGAGAGAGACCAATCTCCCTGTTTCAGATGGTTCCTGCTTAGTGCATCCACCAGAATATTATTTTCTCCCTTTATGTGGACTGCAGATATTAACAACAGGTGTAGTTCTGACAAATGCATAATATTGGTGCACAGTTTTTCCAGAGGATTTGAATGTGTCCCTCCTTGCCTGTTCACATAAGCTACGGCCGTTGAGTTATCTGACCTTATTTGTGTGAGGACCTTCCAGATGTCCTGTGAAAGAGAGAAGAGCCATCCAAATGGCTTTTAGCTCCCTGAAGTTTAAAGACTTCTTTGAATCTTAAAGATTCCAAGCACCTTTAGAAATCTTTAGACCCATATGAGCACCTCAACCCATACTTTATGTGACTGTGGCTACCAACACAATTTTTTTTTAAGTGGAAAGATAGACTTTCCAAAATGAAATGAGATGTCATCCACCAATGAAAGCATTGTAGAGCCGAGGGGCTTAGGTGCATGGATTGGTCTTTGGCGGTAGTTTTTCTGTTCCAAGAAGAGAGGATGTTTCTCTGTAATGGTCTCACATGTGCTTTGGTCCAGTTTACTGCTGGGATTGCAGCAGTGAACAGACCCAGAAGTTTCATTGCTTCTCTTATAGTGCAACAGTTCTTCTTTTGTAAGGTAAGGATTGTTACCCTGAGTTTGTTTATCTTGTCCAATGGTAGGAAGATCTTCATTCGAGTGGAGTGTTAAATGAGTCCCAAAAATTGGATAAACGTGATGTAGTTAGTTCCGATTTTTCTTTGTTTAGGATCCAAACATGCTCCCAGAGGGTAATAGAAGCACTTCTGATGTCTTTTAGAAGTTGTATTTCAGAGGAAGCTATAAGTAGCCAGTGGTCTAAATATAGGACTATGTAGAGACCCCTTTTTCGCAATTCTCCCGTGATGACCACTAACATATTGGTAAAGATGGAGCCGAAGAAAGGCCAAAGCCCTTAATTGGAAATGCAGTAGATGTTCCCGATCTTTTGTGGCAAATCTTAAAAACCTTCTGCTTTCTTCTGTTATAGGCATGTGTAGGTAAGCGTCCTACAAATCGATGGAACATAGCCATGTTGAATTATGTAGGCAGCGGAAAAGATATTTTCCATGTGAAACTTTTTCTGAACCACAAACCCGTTTACTAATTTTAAATCCAGAATCGAACGGAAAGAACCACCTGTTTTTTTTTTTTTTTACCAAAAAGATTCTCGAATAAGACCCCTTGAATTCTTCTTCTTTTGGAATAATTTCTATCACAAGGCCAAAACCTCTTGGAGAAGCACTGCAGCAACCTCTTTGGAGTGATCTGTGGAACAAAGGAACTTTCTTGGAGGAATTTTCGAGAAATTCTATCTTGGAACCGCTTTAAATTACTGACAGGACCCATTTGTCTGTAGTAGTCTTCTGCCATACCGAAAAGAAATGCATAAGTCTGCCACCCACTGGCATGGCATCAAAATCTACACTCTTTGTTTCTGTAGAAAAAAGGTATGTTTCCTGAATACCTCTTCTTTTCTTGAGGCAAGGCTTTTTTACCTTCAGCCATATGCTTTAGCAGGTCGTCTAGCTGTGACCCAAACAGTCTACCCTTTTCAAAGTGAAGATCATACAAAGAATTCTTCGAAGCAGTGTCAGCGGACCAGCTTCTTAACCATACTGCCAGTCTGGTTACATTAGTAAGCCCCATCATTTTAGCCGAAAACTTCAGTGCCTCTGATGAAGAGTCGGACAGAAAATCCACAGCCTTCCTGATATTCCTCAAATGTTCAACAGGATCTTTCTTAGATTCACAAAGAAAATCTTTCTCTAAGGTGTCCAGCCAGAATCTTTGGGCTTTAGTACCTGAAATAATCGCCTTACTCTGGTCCGCTGCAGAGAAAAAAAAAAGCTTTTGTAAAGAAGACTCTGCTCTCTTATCTATTACATCCTGAAGACCTCTAGACTCTCCAATAGGAAGTGTTTAATTTTCCCTAGTTGGGCAATAAGAACATCCACCTTAGTTAAAATCTCTAGCTGTGTTTCTGGTTCTTCTTTAACCGAAAGAATGGTCTTGAAATGCTTGTATATGAAAGCTTTTCTTGCAGGAAATTTCCATTTCGTTAGCATCAGCTGCTGAATAGATGAGTGAATGGGTAAGTATTTAAGTTTCCTTTTTTCCTGTTCTCCTGAAGATCCTCCCAGATCCATGAGGCTGTATACTTATTTAATGAGTTTAGGCAGATACTGCTCCTGAAGGCATTTTTCCTGGTTAGGAATCACTAGAATCCTTATAAGAGGATTCAGAGCTCATCTCTAGAACCTCAAAACATGTCCTCTTTTTAGAGGGGGAAGAAAAATCTGTTTCAAATCTGAATAGGCATCAGAAGAGGATTCAGAGCTCATCTCTAGAACCTCAAAACATGTCCTACTCTTTTAAGAGGGGGAAGAAAAATCTATTTCAGATCTTTGTTTAGTGTTTGGTTGAACAGAAGACTGAGCACGTAACAGAGCAGGTGAGAAAAATAGGTAAGGGCTGCGCCAATTTATATAACAAAATATAATGAGCAGTGAAAATCACAACATAAAATAAGTAGAAAATCCCCCCCAAAAAAAAAAAGTCCAAAAAAAAGGATCTTTCTCAGACCAAATATAGAATAAGGTGCTTAGACAGGAGTAATATCCTCAGTGTCTTTTTCCGGATGAATGCACTCATATGAAAGACAAAAACTAGATAAAAAGAACCAATAGTGCAATATGAGCGGTCTAATATGTATATAAATGAAATAAACGGGAATAAATTCACATTTAGTAGAGCTATAGCTAGCTCTAGTGTGAAGCTTACTACGTTTACTCTTTTTTTTTTCCTGTTGTACATAGCAGAGCAACCTCCTTTAAGTCAATAAAGGTTTGCTGTAAGCTATTTTGGAACCAATCATAAAAGATGAGACTTGTGCCCTTTTTGCTTCCTCTGAAGCCTCTTTAGTTTTCTGCTTATACACATCTGGTAAGGGTTGGGAAATGGAGGAATACATCAAATGCCTTCAGAGAAACTATGTTTACACTGCAGGGCTAATTCAGCCTCTAGTGGCTATCTCCCTGACAGCCACTAGAGGCGCTTCCGTGATTTACACTGAGTAAATCGCACTTATTTGACGCTGGATGTCCTCACAGACCAACAGCATCAAAAAAGATCCCCATAGGAAAGCATTGAGTAATGCTTTCTTATGGGCGGGTTTGAATGCGCGCACCTCTGGCCGCGCAAGCGCATTCGGCTTCACTCGGGAGCTGACGTGGATGAAGGAGGAGAGATCTCCAGTGCCAAGGGAGCCTGGCACTGGATTAAGGTAAGCAAATAAATGGTTAAATAATCATGTATTCGCCGTTGAACGGGGCCCTAGTCACCGTTTAGGTGACACGGGCTCTATAGGGTTAGGAATACATATTTCTATTCCTAACGCTGCAGTGTTCCTTTTAACTTTTTATAGATGCAAAACTTAAAACATTCTGACTAAAGCGTCAGTATGTCATGGAGTATTAACCCTAACACGTAGAGTTTAGGATAGCAAGGAACGGACTAATTGAATATAAACGTCTTACCGGGCCTTAGAGTGGCCGGACTTGACGCAGACAGAATAAAGCGTATTCAAAATACAAGCCGAGGTCAGAGTAATGGAGAGACAGCGAAAACAAGAACTAGCCAGTCAGATGCACAGTAAATATCCAAGGGTAAACAAGACAGGCAATGGTTAAAGAGAAACTCAGTCAGGAAACAAAGCCAAGGTCAATACCAGAATACAATACAAAACACTAGCAACGCACTAAAGGGTACTGGGAACAGAAACCACAATAGGGCACAGAATCTAGGGCCAGGTAAGTTTAAATACTTTTACTTTGATTGATCCACGTCATCCCGGCACCCCGAAACGTGCGTGAGTGGGGGCGCCGGAATGACGTGGGCCAATGGGAGCCGACCGCAAGGTTAGGCTCCCATTGCCCCTTTAAGAACGTGCTCGCAATGCAAGCAGCGTTCCCAATACTGTTTGGCGCACGTGGCCTGCCAGGAGCAAGGAGTTTTCAAGTGGCATGTGGCTTGCCTGAAGACAGGAGTGATCAGAGGACCCCTGCTGGCACGTGGACCGGGTAAGTACTGTTACACAGTAGTAGTGATGTCAGTACAAGTAGCATTTTGATTATGTGACTGAGATTCCCTTACAGGGTGCATACCTCCCAACATTAGAAGTGGACAAAAGAGGGACACTAGTTTTAGGAAGTGGGATGCCACCAGGTGGAAAGAGTACATCACCCTCCGGAGGCAATTTTGGGGTTAAACCACCCCTTGATTTGAGTGCCTCCTGGCACCATAACAACATGAGTTAAATCCATTTAAGGCAACTAAAATCTAATTTAGAACAATGTATATTTTTTACACAGTCTGATTTCTAAATAGCTATTGTAGTTGAACATATTACTTTTGCTTTTATTGCTGTGGAGCGGTTATACAGACAAAACCAACCATCTAGAGCTCCTAGAAATTATGGACATTAGGGTAGAAAAGACATACAGAACGAATTAAGACTTAAATAGGGACACTTGGGAGCTATGCAGGAGCTGCCCGTGTCTTTGTATGCAACTACTATCCTTATAGTTATAGTAAGCTCCAAAACCCATCACACAGCATTAACCGGCTGACTCCCATTCCGTGTTATCATATCTAAACACGTTTTAGGACTCCATTTGTACTCCAGTTATTTTGGTCATAGTTTCGATTAGACTCAGCTCCTGCAATGCTCAGCCATGGCAGTCTCTGTGAGCCATAGCCATAACAGTCTTTATGTTTGTTTCGGCCCAGGTAATAAACTTCTGTCATTTTCTCCCGGCATCCCACTCGAGAACCTTCCCAGCAGGCACTGCGCCCGCTCCGTGACTTACGTTGTGTCTTCGCGTGCTGACGTCACGTGCCGGTGTGTTTTGCGCGCTGATTGGTTGATTGCTGCGGAGTGGGCGGGGCCTGTTGGCTGCTGTGTGGGAAGTAGCTAGGTAGAGTCTCCTGTCAGAGTCCCGGGCCCAGCAGCACCGAACCGGTTCCCCCCAGTAACTCCTAACCCGCCAGCCGGACCGCCTCTCAGCATGGGGGACAAAGAGTTCATGTGGGCTCTGAAAAACGGAGACATGGACGCCGTGAAGGAGATGATCACAGCGGTGAGGGCCTGTGTAGGCGTGGGGGGGTGGGTAGCATAATGTGTGCTGTATGGGCCACTATGGCATTTATCTGCAACATGACATGCTGCAAATAGGGAGCTACCTGGGGGGCTGCTTGTACTCCGTGCCCGTAACATGTTGATTTACCCCCCACCCTGCTATTTAGCCAGCATTAGTTTGTACAGGTACGAGTGAGGATTCTTAATCATTCTAATTGAATTTCAGGACAAAATGCCAGAACTGTAAATATTCTACAACTCCGAACTCTGCAATTTCGGCCTTAAAGGGACAGTTTAGGCACCTTCATGCACCATAACAACCTAATCTAAATAAAGCTGTTAAGGTACCAAGGGGCACACCCTTGCATTAACTAATGCTCACAGCCAATCAGTGACTCCCCATTCACAATCCTGGCTTGAAAAAAAGCGTAACTTTTCCAAGCCAGTTTTGTGAATGGAGAGTCAATTATTCGCAGAGGACATCAGCTGACCACTCTTAGCCAATAAGCAGCGTCCCTGCCTGACATAACTCACCGTTTCCTGAAGCTGAAATCTCAGAAACCAGATGCCACTTGGGGGCAGTGGAGATAAGTGCTGGAGGCAACTCTGGTGAACTCTTGCCTCAAGAGGTTAAACCGTTCTTGAGTGCCCAGAGTCCATGAAGTTGTTATGGTGCCATGAGTGTTCCTTTAAAGGGAAACTATAGTGCCAGAAAACCAAAGTTGTGTTCCTGGAACTATACCTTCCCTCACCCCTTCTGTCACTTACCTCCTGTCCAGAGCCGATGTCCTTTGGCAATGGCTCGGGTCCGCCTTCACTTCTTCTATGTTGACAGCAATGGTCGTATTTGCATTAGGATTTTCTGACAGGAAAGTATTGTACAATGCTTTTCTATGGGTTTTTGGGTGAAACTGGACATCCCTGCACATAGCTTGAGGAAGTCCAGCATCAGAGTTCCAAAATTCACCTAACAACCCGAATGTCCCTCTAGTGCAGAGGTGTCCAATCCGCAGTCTGGTTGGAGATGGACAGGACTGGATGATCCAGACAGACAGCTCTAAAAAAAAAAAAAGCAATTTAAATAATTTTCCCCTCAGACTGTGACAACCTGTCAGTCTGAGAGGATTAATGAATGAGGTGCTGGTGGCTGGAAGGAGCACTTTAAGGCTCCCTTCACAATTTTCGGAAATTCCTTGTCCATGCTCCACCCTTGCATGCAAGCTCCACCTGCTGCCCATACATCAAGCCCCCATATGCAAGCTCCGCTGGCACTCCAGCAGGAAGAGATCAAGAAATTGCTCCCACAGTCAGTAACTTTGTGTTTATGTGCTTGTATGTTTGTGTGTCAGCTTGTCTGTAGTGAGCATGTGTGTGTCAGTGAGCTGATATATTGTGAGCTTGTATGTAATGTGTGTGTGTGTGTGTGTATATGTATGCACACTACATGACACAGTAATGGATGTAATTTTTTTTTGTATGATTTGTCTGTGATTTTGTGTGTGGTGGAAGGTCTGTGTGTATCTGTGATTGTGTTTGTGTATATCTCTGATTGTGTATAGGTCTGTAACTGTGTGTGAATGTCTGTGATTGTGTATGGGTATATCTGTAACTGTGTGTATAGGTCTGTGATTGTGTTTGTAAATCTGTGATTTATGTGGGTGTGTGATTGTGTGTATAGATCTGTGATTGTATTTGTGTGTTATCTATCTGTGATTGTGTGTGTATATTTGTTATTGTGCGCATGGGTCTGTGAGTGTGTGTGTATAGCTTTGTGTGTGTGTGTATATCTGTGGTTCTTAACTGCAATAATTAGCTTTGCAGGGTTAAGGGTGCTGGGGCAGTGCACCCAGGCCACTTCAATGAGCTTAAGTGGTCTGGATGCCTATAGTGTCCCTTTAAAATTCACATGTAATTCTTCAAAATTCTCACTGTTGAATAACCCTGTAAGTGTTAGTCAACTGTGACTTAAGCTACACTATAATACATTTGAGGTCTCTGTGTTAATAAACCAGCTTGTAAATACTGAATTTGACGTACACAACTAGACTGTGGAAATAAAACTACACAAGCTTTAAATTCTTATTTTTTTTTTAGTTCCCTGGATAGAAAGCCAATTAACAAGTGTAACACTTGACCAAGAGGTGGTGACTAACTGCTGTCACTATTACAGGTTTATTATAATATGTGGGGTTAGTGTTTAAGCAAGTACACTAGCTTGCTTCTAATATCTCATGGTATGAATGATCTAATAAGCATTGGGTTATGATCTCAGTAAAACACATATATTGCGTTTTACCAATAAAAATGTATCAGTCACCTGTGTTTGAACTGAATTTCTAGCCATAGTGCAAGTTATTAAGGAGTTTTCTATTTGTATGTTTTTGTAAGGTTATGGCTTTTACAAAATTACATTTTGTTGAAAATTATTGTTCCTTATAAATTCAGTGACCAGTTGACATTTGTATTACTCTAACATAGAGAAATGCCAACGTTGATGAAGGGTATGTACATAAGCATAGTACAGTGTGTATAGATTTTTTTTTTTTTTTTTATCCAAACATATTTGCACACTTGCGAATTCCAGTGCCAAAGAAAATCTAGAAATCTAAACATAAGTGCATTCTGAGTCTTTGTATAATCAGTAATTTGCACAAAGGTGTGTTAATGGTCTTTTTAAAGTCATATTACACTAGTTTTTAAATCACACATCTGCATTATATGGATGGTTTTTTTTTTTTTTCAACTTCATCAAATAAATAAGTCTAGTCCATAAATTAAGCAAATAAATTTAGTCCATGGTTTCAGTCAGTCGTTTACCATTATGTCTTCCTGTGCTTTCTTTTCCTGCTTTATTGGCAGTTTGTAGACACCCTTATTGTCTGCATTTCACAAACACTGTTTAAAAACAAAGACATTGCTTCTTCAGTACACCTTCTCATTTTGTACTTATGGCAGTAGGGTAGCTCTGACACTTACACAAACTGCATGGAACAAATAAGAGTAGTGCAATCATTAATATCCCCTTTTGAGGCGGATCTGCCTCTACACAGAGGGTTTCTATTGACTGTTGTTCTAAAGTAAACCTGGTGGGTGAATCAAAGCAAACTCTAGGCAGCATACAATTTGTATATATTTTATACTATTTGAAAGCAAGGAGAGGGGGGAAAGAACACTATGGGACGGTGGGGGAAGAAACTTTTTTGAAATCATCTGGGGGAAAAGTCATTTTTGGCCAAGGGCACCCTGAATTTTCGGTTTCAACCAAGAGTTTTCATTTCGGTGCGTCCCTAATTTGCAAACTTCTTTAAGATATACCTCGAATTAATACATACATGTAATTATTGTGGATTTATTTATCTACTAAACAGTTATTTTTGGTGTGCATGTACATATTTTTGTGCATTTGGCTGTACTTGTATGTACTTGTGTATAGTGTATACTCGTACATATACACTACTTGTGTATATGTGTCCGTGTATGCTGTATATTGTCCTTCATGCATATTCTGGAACGCTTGGATGTGAATTCATGCATTCTTAATCTAAGTAATTTTTTTTTTTTTTTACTCTCCCCTTCTATTCTTCATTCTCAGGTCCTCTACCAGAGGACTCTGTGTTTGAGGGTCCTGCGCAGTATCTTGGCTGTTCCTAGAAGGGCACTCTTCTGGACAGCAATCTCAGATGTCCCACCTGGAATCTGTTGAAGCCACTTCTCTAACTTGGGAGTCACAGCCCTATAGCTCCTATGACAACTATAGCCACTACTGCTTTCACTTTCCACATGCTTTCTAGTTCTTTCAGTGCTTGGAATTTTTCTCCACCTTCTCATGTTCCTACTTCCTTATGTTATAGTCACTGAGTATTGCCAGATCCACCACGACTGCAGTCTTCTGTTCAATGTCTACCACCATGATGTCTGGTTGGTTGGCCAGCACTTGCTTGTCTGTCTGGATCTTGAAGTCCCACAGGTTATTGGCCCTGTCATTCTCAACTACCCTTTGCGGTATCTCCCATCTGGACTTAGGCAAGTCCAATCCATATTCTGTCTACACCTACTCCAGGGATGGGGACACTTATCTAACCAATCAGTGCCCTATCCTTAAGAATGCTGGAAACATGGTTTGGACATGCCTGACATATATACACATGTACAGCTGGACAATCTCTTCAGCTTGTAAGATACTGATAGGGGAAGAAAGGAGTCTGATCTGAGGAGGCTCCAGTGTAAGATTTCTCACTCCTCCTGCTGTTGCACAATAGTGCCCTGTTTCTGTCATTTGTGGATGGTGGGAGGAGGCTGAATAAACTCCCTTAGCTTGGAGGTGTGTAATCTGACCCAGTGTATAGCAAGTTTATAAACCTTTATTACCTTTATTAAACTTTTTGTTTTGTATATTTGTTTAAAAGTGATTGGTGGTTTAAATAACTATAGCCAAGTGATGCATGTCCATTTAACTGTGTAAACCTTTAAAAGACCTCTCCACACCCATAAAGCACTTCATCTTGCTTCCTGACCTGCTTTATGGGTAAGGTGTGTTCATATTATAATGACAGTTTATAAAAGATCTGATTTGTGTTCAGAATCAGCACTACTTTAAATAATTAATAAAACTCTTTGACAGCCAGGAGGTTTCTTCCTGCTTCCATTAGCTCCCCTGAGCCAACAGAAGTGACAGGCACACCTGCATACCTCAGACCAGTGTCCAGAACTTAGATCAGTATGTTGCTCACATGTGCACACACAAGTAGGTGTGCAAGTGTGCATGTTGGAAGCCTTTAACCCCTTAAGGACACATGACATGTGTGACATGCCATGATTCCCTTTTATTCCCGAAGTTTGGTCCTTAAGGGGTTAATTGGCTATTTTCCCTGTGAAGAGACTAAAAGTCTCTTCTGTCAAAAAACGGGAGGACTTTCAAAGGCTTTTGCAAACTTATTTAAGATATACCTCGAATTAATACATGCATGTATTCATTGTGGATTTATTTATCTACTAAACAGTTATTTAAATTTTATTTCTTTTATGGTGAGTGTAGTGTTCTTTTAAGGTAAAAGGGTGCACAAAACCTCTTTGCATCTTAACCACTTAATTGTCGAGAGTATAACCTTACAGCAGTTTGATCAGTGTTAGGGGCTTATCTGTGTATAATCACTGAAAAGGAATCTAACGTGAGTGTGTCTAAGGGAAAATGCTTCTGGTGCATTCTGCAAAGCACACGCCTCCCTTTTTTCACAAAATGTCATCCCAGTTAGAAGAAACTGTGCAGTTTAGCTATTGAGAGATCATTGTGACGTTGTCCTACAGCCCGTCTCTGTCCTGTTGTCTGTATAGTATTTGAACAATGTGCTAAGGGGATGGGAGGCATACAACTTTGTCTTATGTATTTTTCCTACGCTTGACAAAACTTAAATGCGGAGGTAACTTTTGAAAGCCCTCCGCCAACATCATAGATGGCGGGGGAGCCTTTTCTGTACAGGTTCTCGCAGGATCCTTTATTGACATCCATGTTGTACTATTGTGCATGCATGAGAGTACAGTGCTGATGTCGGCTTCTGGCAGGAGCTGTAGATCATCAGCTCCATGTCAATAGGAATACAAGTGGAGCAGTCATCTTCTGGGGTCTTTACAAAATATGCAGACAACAGAAGGTGACAAAGTCGCTTTAACTATAACTATGCACAAGTAGGTTCATTCAGACTTTCTTTAATGGTTAGTCTGAATTATCCATTGAGTGGGTGTGATTTGTCTGCAGAACTGGTCAAGTGTATGGTATTTAATTCAGGTCTCTCTCTTTTTTTTTTTTTTTTTTTATATAGAGACCCCTAATGAAACTAACAGGTTAAAGGGGAGAAATATTTCTGCTTTAAGCAAATTTTAGATATAGACATGCACATCCAACAGAAGTGGGAAAATAATTGTGTGGAATTTAATTTCCATTTGCAATTTTTATAGTCCTGGTTACAACTACATTTTCATGCATCAACATTTATCTTCTACACACAGCCTCTGGCCCTTTCCTGGTCATGCATAAGCGCACTGTGTTTGTTTCCAAGAAGTGTGTGGAGCAGGGGTGATAACTCTGGCACAGTGCAGTAATTTCGTATGCAATGCAGTTTCACATTTCTGTAAATAATTAGTTTATCTAAGGAAGGGAGAGTGACTTTGAATCAAACCATAAATCCATTGTGTTGGTTGCAGCAACCTGCTAACCTTATTGAAATCATCCTTCATTGTGCAAGATTTTATCTTTAATATCGCTACCCCATCTCTAACTCTTATTAATATTTCATTATTTATATAGCGCCAGCAGATTCCGTTGTGCTGTGCCTGCCCAATGAGCTTACATGCTAGAGGGAGTGGGGTGCTTAAGTTGTAATCAGTTGGAGCACTAAAAGAGATCTTGCTTGTAGTTTAGTGATGTTGCCAATCTTTCTACTGAAGTAGAATCACAATGTATTTTAGTCATATATGTGTAACAACTTAATTAGCAGTCATTTGTTTCTAGATAATAGGTATGCTTAAAGGGACACTATAGTGTCAGGAAAACAAATTGGTTTTCCTGGCGCTATAGTACCCTGAGGGTGCCCCTTAAAACCCCTTCAGTAGTTCACCTAATTCCAGCGCTGGGCTCCCTTACCTCTCCTCCTCCGCCGATGTCGGCATCCTCTTCTGACGTCACAGGAGCCGAATCAGCAGGCGCGGCACTGCCGCGCATGCATTCAAAGTGTCCGTAGGAAAGCATTTTCAATGCTTTCCTAAGGACGCTTTGCGTGATTGAGGCATAATATGCCTCAATCGTTGCAGATGCGCCTCTAGTGGCTGTTTGGAAGACATCCACTAAAGGCTGGCTTAACCCCAAATGTAAACATAGCAATTTCTCTGAAACTGCTATGTTTACATCAGGAATGGTTAACCCTAGAGGGGTTCATTGAGCTGGAGTGGTCTGGGTGACTATAGTGTCCCTTTTATGTGTGATCTCCGATAGTTATTTATTTTACTAATTACCTAAACCTTTGTTTCAGAGTTACAAATGTCTCAACTGGTAAATATTTTTACTCAATTTAATGAAACTATCAAAAATACAGTGACTTCTGGCTACAATCATTGCAGGTTAAAACTTGATTTTGTAGCCTGATTTTTATCTTTGTGTGAGAACAAATTCAATCTCAATTTTGTAAAGAATGAAAGGATCTTTTATATTTTGTTCCTTTCTCTCTCTGCTGGTAAAATTGGCTGTCCGGGTCTTGAACCTCTCCAGGACCACATGATGTGCTATGTCATCAAACAGTGCAGGGCTTTAACACTTTAATCTTGTGTTTAAGGTACTAGAATGGTTAGATTTCAGCTAGAATCAAGGAGCCCCAGGTATCATTCAATAACAGAGGGTCTGCTCTGTTAGCTGGGGGCACATTTAGTGTCCCCAGACTGATAGATGAACTGTGTACAGTGCACAAAGTAAGCACTGTACACAGTCCTTTAAGTCCACATAAAGCCTGATTCTTTGTCTTGCCTGCCTTCAGTCTAAGGGAGACAACAAGGGTCTGAAAAGACCCATCGGTCTCTGTAGTTTGTGGCTTTGCCAGTTGACCAGCTCTTATCACTGACCAGCAGGAACAGCATGCATAGCCTTCTCATGCTGCAATTGCACAGTAGAGGGCACTAACAGTAATTTTTACAGATTGACCTGGGAAATCTTTCTGCTGGTGTCAGCAGAGGAAATCCCTCTGAGTAAGTGATGGTGTTTGAGGTAGAAAAAGGAGAAATAGTGCCAATGTTTGCTGCTTTTCAGTCCGTTGACAGTGTCACTTTACCAAACTGCATTCCTAGTAAGTAAGCAAAGAGGCATGTCAAAGTTAGGGCATGTCTGTTATTTGAACCTACAGTCCCTCAAACTACTGACAAAGGTTGTACATGTGAGGTGTACCTGAGAACAGTAGAAAACATACAAATATGTTGTCTTCACAACGGTGGGAAAATTTTCATGAAAATCAAAATTTTTAATTTAACCATCATGTTTTACAGTTTGATGATAACATAGTTAAATTAAGAGTCAATGCTCTTAGTTACATAACCCGAAGGGTTCTACTTTCTACGCAGCGGTTTTGAATTATGTAAAAGTCCAGAGAATTTGATTTGCACGCTCTATATTTCACCCAGCAACTTTCCAAACACCATAAAACCTGTTTCATCAGTGAAAGGGGCAGGGTTTTGTTTTTTTTGCGTAAAAAACCCAAATATGAACACTTTGACCAGGGTTTGTGACTAAAGGCACACTATAGGCACCCAGACCACTTCAGCTCATTAAAGTGGGTGCAGTTTCCCAGCAAAGGTAATTATTGCAGTTTTTTGTAAACTGCAATAATTCCCTTTATGGGTTAAAGGACCACTATAGTGCCAGGAAAACATACTCCCGCCTCCCCCTCCTGCCCGGCTATAGGGAGAGGAAGGGGTTAAAACTTACCTTTTTCCCAGTGCCGGGCGGGGAGCTCTCCTCCTCCTCTCCGCCTCCGATCCTCCCTTTCGGCTGAATGCGCACGCGCGGCAAGAGCTGTGCGTGCATTCAGCCTGTCTCATAGGAAAGCATTTAATGAGCTGAAGTGGTCTGGGTGCCTATAGTGTGCCTTTAGTCACAAACCCTGGCCAAAGTGTTCATATTGGGGTTTTTTACGCAAAAAAAAACAAAACCCTGCCCCTTTCACTGATGAAATGGGTTTTATGGTGTTTGGAAAGTTGCTGGGTGAAATATAGAGCATTTACAATGCTTTCCTATGGATGCTTGCGTGTTCTCACTGTGATTTTCACAGTGAGAATCACGCAAGCGCCTCTAGCGGCTGTCAATGCGCCTCTACGGTTGAACAGATATATAATGCAAATTCAAGGTTTTGTTTGAGTTTTGATCTATATATTTATTACTGGAATTTATAAAGCGTCAACCGATTCCGCAGTGCTGTACATTTACTAGAGACGTACAATATACACAGACAAATACAAAAGGTAAAGAGAGCCCTGCCCATAAGCTGGCCATTGAAGCTCTTTTATACAAAGTGAACTTGTACGACTGCCTCAGTCCTTAAGGGATTAAACAGCAACTAGATGCATACTTGCAAAAAACACAATATTCAGTGATATCATTTTTCAACTGTAGGGTAATAGCTTCTTGATCCAAGGATAAATCTGACTGCCATTCTGGGGTCAAGAGGGAATTTTTTCCCTAGTTTGTTGCAAAATTGGAAGTGCTTCAAACAGGGTTTTTTTGCCTTCTTTTGCATCAACATCAAAAAACAAATGTGAGGACGGCTGAACTTGATGGACACGTCTCTTTTCAGCCTATGTAGCTATGCAGTTTTTCTTTAAATAATGGTCATGCTGCAGTGAACAAGAATAAGGGAACACTTCACACAGGTTTGCATTAATGTTAATATATGTTAAATATTCTTGTGTTCCCTTAAAAATACAAATGTAACAATTATGGTCTGACATTTCCTCTGATGAAATACAGTAGCAAAGTGGTGCAAGATTATACACCTATGGCTAAATCCAGATTTAAAGTCTTACACAAACTGCTAATTGTTTTTTGTTTTACTTTTTTGGTGTTTTTTTCCATCACCTCATGCAAAATTATATCTGTAATTCTGTATCATTTGGCCCCCCTCCCCCCCCCCGAAAAATAAAAATAGTGTAATGGGAGGTCTATCCTCATTATGTAGCAGACAGCACTGTCTCCACATCAGTGTTTGTTAGTACCCATGCCTCTAGAAAGTTATTTCTGTTGAAATTCTCACTGGTGGGACATAGACAAACACATGTGTGGGTGCACGTAATATGTCTGTGTCTGGGACACACACTGGTGGGAAACACACACACACACACTGGTGGGAAACACACACACACACACTGGTGGGAAACACACACACACACACTGGTGGGGAAACACACACACACTGGTGGGAAACACACACACACACACACACTGGTGGGAAACACACACTGGTGGGGAAACACACACACTGGTGGGGAAACACACACACTGGTGGGGAAACACACACACACACTGGTGGGGAAACACACACACACACTGGTGGGAAACACACACACACACTGGTGGGGAAACACACACACACACTGGTGGGGAAACACACACACACACTGGTGGGGAAACACACACACACACTGGTGGGAAACACACACACACACACACACTGGTGGGAAACACACACACACACACTGGTGGGAAACACACACACACTGGTGGGAACACACACACTGGTGAGGCTACACACACACACACACACACACACACACACACACACACTGGTGGGAAACACACACACACACACTGGTGAGAAACACACACACACACACACACACACACTGGTAGAGAAACACACACACACACACTGGTGGGAAACACACACACACACACACACACACACTGGTGGGAAACACACACACACACACACACACACACTGGTGGGAAACACACACACACACTGGTGGGAAACACACACACGCACTGGTGGGACATGCTCGCTCACGCACATTCTTTAAACAGCAGATCATTTCTGTTTGTTTGTTTGCATGGAAATAAATTTGTTCTATTTTTTTCTGATAGGGTGCAGATGTAAACCGCATGCTCGAAGGTGGTCGCAAGCCTCTACACTATGCAGCTGACTGTGGACAGGATGAGATTGTTGAGTTTCTTCTAGCAAAAGGAGCCGATATCAATGTATGTAACTAGGATTGGGTGATTCCATGCAAGTTCTGTTTGGTGAGAGTCAGGGCTCAAAATTGGCGAATCATTGGTGGGTGAAAATTAAGCTTTGGTGAGTGTGATATGGACCCACTATGTTTGAAGTGGCAAGTATTTTTATTTTTTTATTTTTTTTAATCCTGGCAAGTGGTTTAGAGCCTGAAATTCTATCCCTGGTTGGACCAGTTGCATACCTGCAAGTTACTTGGAGCATGCTGTCCTTTCAAGAATATTTGCTACCAGCTCAGTTTGGCTGGTGTGTAGATAAAGCAATGTTAAGCTATGAAAGATGTCAAAATATAGTAGCCCAGCTAACTAGAGAAACGGTTTGAAAATGAAGTGTGATCATTTATTCTGGATAATAAGTTTGCAATATTTTTTATTTGCATAAAATCATGCACATAATTCACATTAGCCAGGTCTAACTTTTATTCCACAACCTTCCTAAACACTTCCTGTAAAGAGTCATCTAATGTTTGTTGCAAATTCTGTTTAATTTCAAATTTCTTATCTTCTCTTTTAATACCTTTAAAACCTTGCTAGATCCTGCAGGAGACTCGTGTATGTATTTAAATATCAATTTACAGAGCAAGACAAAAATCGTTTAAACTAAGCTACATTAAAAATAAAACCATTTTGTTTTCACGTAGGCAATGTCAGTCACGGGCCAGGGGATGTACAGCTAGGGCTGCATAAATGGAAACAAAATTGAGTAGCACTGCCCCAGGAAGCACCTCTAATGGCTGTGAGAGTAGTGGCCTCTAGAAGTGTTCATTGGCACAAATGTAAACTTTCTCCGAAAGGGCAGTGTTTATAGCAAAAGGCCTGCAATGACTGACTAGACACCAGAACAACTACATTATACTGTACTTGCTCTGGTGACTATATAGTGTCCCTTTAATATGGCATGAGGCCAGTTGACTTCTAGCACGATAAACACTACAATGGGTTGTAGTGGTTATGGTGCCTAGATTATCCCTCTGAAGCTGTGAAGTACAAATATACCGTGTCTGTTAACAACTTTAATTTTTGTGTCCTATTGGGTGTTAATCTCAGCATTCCCGCTTCATTTTATTTAATAGGCTCCAGATAAACATGGGATTACCCCACTTCTGTCTGCCTGCTATGAGGGCCACCTCAGATGTGTCAAGCTTCTTCTCTCAAAGGTAAGAATATAGAATAAAGGGCTATAATTAACTGATATATTTTATATCTTAGCTAGGCAGCTACTTAACTCAAGTACTGCAAAATACAAAAACACACATTCTTGAGCACAGGGACATTTTTAAAATGTTAGCGCAGAGAAATGTCTATATTCTTGACCAAGTAGCCAAGAAATGTACCTGTTCAACACCTATCACTGTAGGTTTTAGAACAGCAGGACACCCCCTAGAATGACTAGGCTTCTGAATCCATTTTGAGTTGTTGGTGAGGAATCAGCTAGTGAACTAAATATATTTTGAGGCTTAATAAAAATCTGATTAAAGTCCATGTTTTTTACTGTCTTTATTTTAATTGTGGCCACACAGGAAACATAACAGGCACGTTTTAGTTATGCCCACACAGGAAACAGAACAGGCACATTTTAAGTCTTTTTAGCTCAGAGCATGTACTTTTGACCAAGTAACCAAAGCATATTCCTGTCCAAAACATGCTTGACACATAGGTTAATACTTGTACCCACAAGCTCAATCCAATACCAACGTAGGTTGCTGAAATGTTCATGTGGCCACATGCAGAATTGCAAGTAAATACTTTCTGAATCTGTACAATTTTTTTATTTTTTTTAGAGGCACTCTAGGCACCATTACCACTACAGCTCAATAATGATTATGGTGCTTGGAATTCTCTTTACTTACAAATGTTTATACAGATGCAGCTTTTTTTAACCCTGAGACCAGATTGTTGAAAACCTGTGTACCTTGCTGTACAATTGGGTTATTGTCTATATGATTTGCAATATTACTAGCTGTTGTGTTTTTTTTTTCTTGTTTTTGAGATTTATTGCACTATTATCAAAGAAACATGGAGTGGATGCATGTATTTTAGAGAGATCATTCTGACAGCATTATGAATTGTCTGTAAACTTACAAACATTTCAATGGATAATCAAAGGTAGGTTGACATCTGTAAAAAGGCAGTCATATACCTTAAGTCAACATAATAGCACTGCCCCAGGAAGCAAACATTTCAATGGATAATCAAAGGTAGGTTGACATCTGTAAAAAGGCAGTCATATACCTTAAGTCAACATAATAGCATTATGTTGACTTAAGGTATATGACTGCCTTTTTACAGATGTCAACCTACCTTTGATTATCCATTGAAATGTTTGTAAGTTTACAGACAATAGGAAATACATTTAGTAAAATAGCTACAGATGCTTGGCATAGACTTCCACAAAGATGGTAGGGACTGTAAACTATTGTAATATTTGTAATCGTTATACAATGCTGCTGTCAGCATGAAACATACGAAATATAAATATAATTTACATGAGAATAAGCTTACGGGAATGGCTAACTGGCGTTATAACTTGTCTGTTGATGTCACTTTTAAAAGACACACACACTTATTTATTAAAAGGAAACTATTACTTTCCAGGACTTGATCTCAATGAAGTGTTGTGGGTGCCATGTGCACCACCATAACTCTGCTGTTGAAAATGTTTCTGTTCTACATGAAAAATAATGTTTACATTGTGGGGTTAACCTGCCTGTAGTGGCTCTCAGCAGATTAAAACTATTTTAGTCAGATGATGCCATAGAGACACCATTTTGCCACTTGGCTGAGAACATTGTCAATGCATATGATGTAACCTGTTTCTTCATAGAATAATAGTTTGTATTTGTGTGCAAATATACACTATAAATATGCATAATTGCACTTACAATGCACACTATATGACTAGACTTTGGTCTCATGTTACAGAAAGTGGAAGATTTAAGAATCATTCTGCATTTCCCGCAAACTCAGTACCCAACACTTAATCTGTCATTAGTCAAACAAGCAGAACAACATTTCTAATTGACCTGCTATTTAAGATGAAATAGAAATGTGCCTTATGTGCTATTCATGCCTATGACACTGTTAAAGAACCACTATAGGCACCCAGACCACTCCAGCTCAATGAAGTGGTCTGAGTGCCAGGTCCATCTAGGGTTAACCCTGCCTGCTGTAAACATAGTAGTTTCAGAGAAACTGCTATGTTTACAATAGGGTTAATCCAGCCTAAAGTGGCTGTCTCATTGACAGCCGCTGGAGGTGCTTTTCACTGTGATTTTCACAGTGAGAAGACGCCAGCGTCCATAGTAAAGCATTGAGAATACTTTACTATGGAATGGCTGAATGCGTGCACGGCTCTTGCCGCGCATGCACATTCAGCCGATGACCGAAGGAGGAGGAGAGGGAGCTCGGCGCTGGAAAAAGGTGAGTGTTTAACCCTCTTCCTCCCCCTTCACCCTGGCGGGAGTGGGACCCTGAGGGTGGAGGCACCCTCAGGGCACTATAGTGCCAGGAAAACGAGTATGTTTTCCTGGCACTAAAGTGGTCCTTTAAAGTGTCACTCATGAAAAAATATGTCTTTTGTAAACAGCATAATTTTATCTTAAGCAACAAACTGTTGAGACTGAAAGCAGCCAATTTGGCCTTAATTCCAGCTATAACAGATAATCATGGCCCTGTAGGCCCTCCAACTCAACTCTAGAGCAGGATAGCTTTTTTTTTTTTTTTTTCTTCTTCTTCTTCTAATACCACACATATGATTTACCCCTGCACATTTTGTTCCCCCTAACATGTGATATAAACCTTGGATAATAAAACGTAATCATGAAAGCAAGAGACCTGAGGCTGAAAAAAAAAAAAAAAAAATGTATCCATACCTAAATTTGTGTTTGCTTTTGGTATTCATAGATGTCCTATGTTCTAGTTTCCCAAAATGTAGAGACAAATTTAACCTATAATTGCTCAAGTTGGTAGATCTTTGTTACAAATACGGGGGTTCTGCATTTTATGACTACCACCGATCCTGTTCAGCCTAGACGGCAGCAGCCTTGGTGCAATTCAATATCAAAGTAGACTGGAGCCAGTTGGATATAGAGATATTTTGAAAGCCTATGCCCTACCGAAACCAACACAGCCATCCACATCCTAATCTCACTGCAAGACCTGAACATAGAGAGATAAGACAAACTGGGAAGACTTTTTTTGTTTTCCTTGGAAATTCCCAAATCTGTAATCATTTTGACCCCTGAACATGAGGTATCAGTGTTTGTAGGCTGACATGTTTGCTCAGTATGTTTCAGGGCACACACAGTCTGTGCCCAAATAAAATGTGCACTAAACAATATTTATAATATGTATATCAAAGTTGATGTTCTGAACCAGCATTTCAGTTGGCATTTGTCTATTTAATGCACCATATGGTTCTAAATCAAATTAATTTTATTTTTGTGTGCCAGTTTTGTGTTTTACAAGTTGCTTTATGGCATGCTTGCACCAGATACCTTGAATACAATCCATTTCTAACAAAGTGAATGAAGCTCAACAAGAATCTTTTATTTTTATTTTATTAAAAACCTCTGTTCTTTTGTAACCTACAATTGATGAATCGTTGCAAGGACTTGTATACTTTGCCAAGTTTTTTTTTTTTTTTAATGTAGAAAAGAAACCAAGAAGCAGTGGCTTTTAATTTCCAAATAGCTTTGTTGGAATTTCTGTTACTTCGCTTTTGACAAACCTGCTTCCTCTGTGTTAAGATTATATTGTGAATATTGTGTTCTTTCTTTAACTTGCTTAAACTCAATTTTGCATTCAGCAATGTGAAACAAAATGTTTTTTGTAGAAGTCAGTTCTTATTTTGGGTTTTATTCCAACGTGTTTTTGAGCACAATGTGTGTGCAATAGCAATACCTAAATTAATATGATGGATGCTACTGAAAACAAATACATGCCAGTGCAGAATGAATTGTTGTGTGTGCTAGGCTTCTTTTCAGTTCTGGCAGTTGATTATGTAGTATCTGAATCTCTGCTCTCAAATCTCTGACTGCATTTTGCAGGCTGTCAAAAGGTTTTCTAGTGAAACCAGTGCTGCATTAATTGTATGTTACGTAGCAAAATAAGACGTAGTTTAGCATTTTACTTCAGTGCAGAAAAACATCTATACGTTTCGTCTATTCCCACTGTATAGCGTGATTCTATTTATTTAAATCTATAAGTGTGTGTGTGTGTGTGTATATATATATATATGTGTGTGTGTGTGTATATATGTATGTATGTATATATATATATATATATATATATATATATATATATATATATATATATATATATATATATATATATATATATATATATATGTGTGTGTGTGTATATATATATGTAGGATTGTCACAGATCTTGCAGTAACCACAGCCTTCTAGGGTATACAAAGTCCAGGACACATTCAGCTCGGTTTTCCTTTTTATTCAATAAGAAAACAGGTGCTTTAAATAATAACAAAACAAACAAAATCCCTTGCTCTTACTTGAGCTCTTACTAGACAGGAATTGCTATCTGCAATTGGGTGGCTTTCCCACTTACCAATTTTCCAAACAAAAGAAATGTCTTTTGTAATAAACACAATTGTCATTCACTCTCCTAGCTGTCTTTTCCTCCCTCACTCTGCAGCAGGCTGCCCTCTTCTTTTAAAGGCCTGTCTACTAATTGACTAGCTACAGGTGAGTGCCAATTAATTAACTCGTAAGTCAGATCCAAATAGTGGTCTGTTACACAGCAACTAATGCTGTTGGAGCATTGGCCCACCCTGCTCTCCAAATACTCCGCCCCAGGGACCCATACCATGTTTTGCAGAGCATCAGCTATGCATATTGCAAACTTTAACATCTCTCCCTGGGGCATTTAACTGAAAATCCTCTGGTTGCTGTTTAGCAAATCAGGCCTGATGGATCTTCCATCAACCACTATTCCACTTTTACGCTCACAATATATATATATATATATATATATATATATATATATATATATATATATATATTGCTTTCAGTGTTTGTTTATACAACACACACCATCTAAATCACATTTTAACTGTCACAAATAGCTCCAATATAGCATGCATAATATACAACTTGTGCCCTAAATGGTAGTGAATTAGGGATAACACATTTGGAAATTGTTATAGACCACAAACTAGGCAACAATGGGCAATATCAATCAGCAGTGACTAAGGCCAGTAAGGTATTGTCATGTATAAAAAGGGGCATTAATTCTCGGGATGAGAATATAAGTTTACCTCTTTATAAATGGTAATACCACATCTTAAATATGCTGTGCAGTTTTGGGCACTCTAAAGAAGGATAATATGGCACTAGAAAAAGTGCAGAGGCAGGTTACAAAATTAATAAAAGGTTAACACATTTAAACCTCTTTAGTTTAGAAAAACAGCGACTCAGAGGCGATGTGATGTTTTACAAATATATCCGGGGCAAATACAAACCTTTGTCTGGAAATCTATTCACAAGCAGGACTATACATACAACACTAGCTCACACATTGAGACTGGAAGAAAGGAGATTTAGTCTAAGGCAAAGGAAAGGTTTTTTTTTTTTTTTAGTAAGAACAATAAGGATGTGGAATTTCCTGCCTAAAGTGGTTTGCCTGAAGTCCTTACAAATGTTTAAACAGCAACTAGATGCATACTTGCAAAAACATAATATTCAAGGATATAATTTTTTTAACTGTAGGGTAATAGCTTTTTGATCCAGGGATACATCATACTGCCATTCTGGGGTCAAGAAGGTTTTTTTTCCTAGTTTTTTTGCAAAATTGGAAGTGCTACAAACAGTTTATTTATTTATTTTGCCCTTATTTTGAACAGCAAAACACAGGTGTGAGGAAGGCTGAACTTGGACGCATGTCTATTTTCAGCCTATGTAACTAGGTAGAGGAGTGTTATTGAATGTGAGAGAGAAACTAGTTCCTAGTAGGGGATTAGAAGTGAGAATGAACGGTATTGAGAAGGGGTATATGGGTGTGGAATTGGGTTAAAAGGTGTGGTAGAGAGGGAGCACAGGAAACGAGTAGATTTATAGTGGGATACAAAAGAGGAGATTGTGGTTAGATTTGTATACAAATGCGAGGCATTTAAAAATAGACAGCTGATAAATTGGAAACCAAAGAATTTTTTGATTAGGCGTGGCCTGTTGAAAGATGTCGGCAGCTGAATTTTGAATTGCTGGAGGGGAGAGATGGAGTGGTGAGTAGGCCAAGCAGGAAAGTGTTGCAGTAGTCTAACCTAGGTGAGTATGAGGGAGTGGATAAGTCGTATAGAAGCACAGAATGTGAGATGAGGGCAGATCATCTGGATAGTGAAGAGATGAAAGCAACAGAAGGAACAGTGGTTATATGTTTCTTGTAGAGCAGAGAAGAATCAAAGGTGATATCTTTGTTGCAAGATGTGGTTAAATGAAAAAATGGTCAGTGGACTGAAGAGAATAGAAGCGAGTGGAACGGTAGTTGAAAGAGATGGGATTGAAGGAACAGTCCTTTCTGGTTTTTTTTGTTTTCTAAAAAATTTGAGAGGAGAGATAAGGAGAAGATCTGCATATCATTTGCAGAGAAATGGGCATTGAAGCAATGAGAGGATGTATTCCATCAGTGGGGGAGTGGAGAGAGAGGGGACAGGAACTGAGCCTTGCAGTACACAGACTGTAAGAGGAATGTGTGGTGTTGATGTATTGTTAAATGAGACTGTGTAGTTGTGACCAGAAAGGCAGAATGAGAACCACAAGAGGGCTGTAATACCAAGGTTTGTCTGGGTAAAGAGAATGGTAGGATGATTGACTGTCAAAAGCAGCAGACAGAATGGAAATTAAAGAGAACTTATAAAAACTTATATTATACTTATATTTGTATAATATATTATAAAATAATGAAAGCATTTTATAATATATTATACATATATAATGCATATATATGATTTCATTATAAGTGTACTTTGAGATATATACTGATATATCTCAAAATACTTATATTGAAATCATATATATGTATAATATATTATAAAATGCTTTAATTATAATATAGTATACATGTATGGGAAAGTGTGTGTGTGTGTTTGTGTATATATCTATATGTGTGTATGTATGTATGTGTGTGTGTGTGTGTGTGTGTGTGTGTGTATATATATATATATATATATATATATATATATATGTATGTGTGTGTGTGTGTGTGTGTGTATGTACCCAAACGTTTGATACCCTAGGGTGTCTACTTTTAAAATAGGACATGGGTGCATAATGACCAGCACCCTCCAAATAAGGTATTTTAGCCCCTAGAGAATATGACACACCTATACATTGGGGGGGGGAATCACTGTACTCAAGAGATGTTGCTGAACACATGTTGAGGTGTTCTTTGGCAGTAACCCTTTTGTCAAAAAAATCAATTATTTTATTTATTTTTTAATTTGACATAGATTGGTGGTAAAATGGTTGCATGAAAAGAGTCAAAATACCCCAAGTTTAAAGGATCACTATAGGGTCAGGAACACAAACATGTATTCCTGACCCTATAGTGTTAAAACCACCATCTAGCCCCTCTGGGCCCCTCATGCCTCCATAAATATAGCAAAATCTTACTGTATTCAAGCCTGAAGCTGTAGATTTGCATACTGTTTGGCTCAGAAAAACAAGCTGTCTGCTGACATCATCAGAAGTGGTAGCCTGATCCAATCACAATGCTTCCTCATAGGATTGGCTGAGACTGACAAGGAGGCAGATCAGGGACTGAGCCAGCGTGATTGAAACACAACCCTGACCAATCAGCATCTCCTCAAAGAGATTAATTGAATCAATGGATCTCTATGAGGAAAGTTCAGTGTCTGCATGCAGAGGGAGGAGACACTGAATGTTTGGATGCATTTTAGGCAGCCATGACCCAGGAAGGATCTCTAACAGCCATCTATGGAGTGGCCAGTAAAGTTATCACTAGGATGTAATTTAAACATTGAATTTTCTCTGACTGAAGAAGCTCTATTTGAGAATGAAACGCGTATTGGCCATTTTTTAAAGCACTTTTATTGAGGACTTTTTAAAACATTTGTTTTTAAATTTATTATACACCAATACATTTATTTTACTTAAGATCCCACTTAAGTCCTTTTTGGAGCCTCCAGAGAATCTCCATAGGGGTAGTGACATCCCCATTCAAATTGGCACAGAATCTATGTACCTAGAGCCGGGACCCATAGGCTCAGGACCAGGTGAGCACCACATTTACTAACACATATTTGTGTTTTTATGATCGCAATCTACACATTGGTCCGCTCTCCCTCTTTTTGTCTTTGAGAATTACTCCAAATCGAAGTAGAAGGGTGGTGCTACCATAATAAGCACACAAGCCTCAATACGGAGCCAGCTAATGCAAGCCTTTCTTTCTGATTTAAAATGTAATATTTTGGAAAAAGATTTATATAGACATAGTCTTAATATATGCATATTTTTTAATATTTTAATATGTTGTAAAAATAATGTAAAAGTTTATTCAAAAAGGTGGGCATAATTGGTAAAATGGTTAGATTTTTGGTTAAATGGAAGACTATTGCGTATCTCACACACACAAAAAAAAAAAATATGAAGTGTAAAGAACCAAACGGACTATTGCATACAAATGGTAAAATAAAATAATTCATAACTCCTTCATGCAGTATTCCTTTATTCGTGTGTTTTGGTCTCCTACAAAGACCCGTAATCAGACCAAGGAATACTGCCTGAAGGAGTTCTGGACTATCTAGTGTTGTGTATTTATATATTTTTTTTGTTTTGTTTTTTTTATTTTTTTTATTATAACTATTATACCTGGTTTTGGCTGAACTGTGATCCAGGTCATCGTTAGAGAAAGTACGTGCATAGTGTTTGGAGCGTTGGCTAGGAGCAGATGAATTCGGTTTATTATTACAAGGGGCTGTTTACATGGGGAAAAAAAATGGATCTATAGCAATTGCTTAAAAGCTGCACATATCTTGAAACATTTAATATTCAGGGACACTGCTTAATTTCTTAAAGTCTGTATAAACACCACAAACACTGCAAGGTATGCATTACTAGGAGCACCCTGAGCCCACTCCTATTGCTAAGAGTGGTGAGATGAAGTGGTCTGGTTGAGTTTAGTGGTCCTTTTAATGGGTATCTGTGTGAGACACTCTCATCAAGATCCTTTACTTATTGGGTAAAGGAGGGTTTATAAACTATTGAGTTAAAAACTATATGTATATATTGTTAATAAATACTTGCTGTTTTTGATGACTTTTTTTTTATCATCATTTAGACTGCAGTGCAAAAACTGTTACGCCCTATTCTTAGCGGCTCTAAACGCCGCAGGGCGTAATAGTACGCCCTCCGGTATTTTGCTACCCGGTCGCCGGCGGTCAGGGTACTCACCTGGGATTACAGGGAGTCCTCCGCGGCGGATCCTGCCTCCTCCGCCACGGCCATGTGAGAGTGAGGTCCTTACGAGGACCTCACAATCACATGGCCTGGTTAGCTGGCTGCTGCATTGCCAGCAGGGGGACTGGCTGTAATGACAGAACACAAATATTAGTGTTTCAAAACAATAAATGTATTACAACGATGATATCGCCAGTAAAAGTTAAGTTTTTTGCATTTTTCACGCACAAACAGCACACGGACGATATTATTGCTGTGATACTTTTTACTGTTTTGAAACACACATATTTGTGTTCAGCGAAGTCTCCCGAGTACAACAGTACCCCTCATGTACAGGTTTTATGGTGTTTTCAAAAGTTACAGCGTCAAATATAAGGCTTGTGTTTCATTTTTTTCACATTAAAATTCGTCAAATGTATTTCAAATGTAATGTGCTATATTTGACCCTGTAACTTCCCAAAACACCACAAAACCTGTACATGGGGGGTACTGTTTTACACGTGAGACTTTGAATACAAATATGTGTATTTTATTGCAGTAAAAGCAAACCGTATTATGACATTGACAGTTAAAATGTCATGTAGAACTAAAAAAAATAACAATTTCTTATTTTCTCCCATTTTTTTCATATTAAATTGTTTCATAGTTAAATATTTGATATTAAATGAAAGCCCTGTTTCCCCTGAATAAAATGATATATAATAAGGGTGGGTGCATTTTTATATGAAAGAGGTGAATTATTGTTTGGATAGACATATAGCGCAAACGCCAGGTTTTGTTTACGTTTTGTTTTGTTCACAACGTGTACATTTGGCTCAGTCCTTAAGGGGTTAAATACAACACTTTTGTTTGTAAAAATATGTGCTACGGTATAATCATCATTTTATGTGAACGTATCCCCTCGAAGTCATACACAAAGGAGAAGTGACATTGAAAAGTAATTTTGCTCATATTAAAAGCTTATCACCTGTCCTGCCTTTCATTATACTATCTGGTTCCGGTTGGCTAAGGTTCCTTTATCACCAGCTATATGCAGGTCGTTACAGGAGCCCCCATTAGTTTTGGCGAAGTGTAATAAATGATCTGTCTAGCAGCAGAGACACAGGGAAGAAAGATAACATCACATTCTAGAAAGCCGTTCATCTTTCTAGGAAAAGATCAGTGTTCGGCAAGAAGTCTGAATGCATGGCAAGCATCCCACGTTATGTACCTGGCAAATTCATGGGAAGGGTTTGCATGTCAGATTTAACTTTGCACTTTTGCAGTGAAAGGAAGTGATCAGAAGATTGCTGCAGCGAGACAGATAAGTCTTCAAGCATTCATCATAAGACATGTTAACACCAGACAATGAGCTCTACACAGAGTTTAGAAAAAGTTATAAAATGATAGAATAAACAGGATATACACCCTATTTAACCCTATGCATGTCAAATGGATTAAAATTAACTAAAGTATGTAATATAAAATGGTCAATTAATGGAGGAGCAATGTTTGAAGATAGTAATAATTCAGTGAGGTATGAACTCTGATAATCATGCTGTCATTTTCACCAGACTCAAACCCCACATACTCCCCACTCTTTTTCACAAAATGTCTTTGAAGGTACACGGTCAAGCTCAGCCAATGAGAGATCCATATGACCTGAGCTGCTTACTTGAATCCTGCATCTCAGCTAGCCAGTCTTGTTAAATGTTTAACTCATTTCCTTCAGTTAGTGCCTACTAAATATGTTAACTGAAAATCAATTAAATGCAGAATTTAATTAAGATTATTCTTCATTGAGTTTCATTTTGAGATTAATATCCAATTTACCAGAATGTGTTCCTGTTACTATAACTAGTTTTATCAGCTGTGTCCTTCAAATGTATAGAAATCCAGTCATGGCTGCTTTTTTCGTCTTTTGAAAGTTGCGTTTGTTTAGTTTTTTTGTTTTTGTTTTTTGACACCGTATACAATAATTTTGCCTGTCATTAATAATAAGTAATAACTTTTAAAGGACCACTATAGGCACTCAGACCACTTCAGATCAATGAAGTGGTCTGGGTGCCAGGTCCATCTAGGTTTAACCCTGCATCTGTAAACATATCTGTTTCAGAGAAACTGCTATGTTTACAATAGGGTTAATCCAGCCTCTAGTGACTGTCTCATTGAGGCTCTTCTGTGCTTCTCACTGTGAAAATCACATTGAGAAGACGCTGACGTCCATAGGAAAGCATTTCTCATTAATCACTGACGTCGAAAGAGGGAGGAGAGTTCCCCAGCGCAGAGGGACCCCGGCGCTGGAGAAAGGTAAGACTTTACACCCTTCCTCCCCTTCAGCCTGGAGAGAGTGCGACCCTGAGGGTGGGGGGGACCCAAAGACCATACAGTGCCAGGAAAATGATTTTGTTTTCCTGGCACTATAGTGGTCCTTTAAATAAAACTTTTTATAGTGCTCAAATTCTTGTACAAAGAAAGCTTTTAATTTTTTACACAACATTTCTGCCTAAATCTGCATTTTCTAAAGTTATTAGACTCCACCACAATCTATTCTCGATCCCAGTATGAACCCACAGGACAAAGAAGAAATTATTCAAGAGGAATATTGCCATTTGATAGTAATTCAGAGAACTGTTATTGTCTATTAAAAGCAAACCTTTCTATGTATTTGAGCCTTCCGGCTATGTGAGCAACAATTTAATTCTAATTCTGCATGAGCTCTAGGGCATTTACTCTCTAAACCATCAGTTATGACAAGTTGACAACCTAATTGTTGGCAAAAATAGACAAGTTGGTGGCAGGGCCGGACTGGGAAGAAAATTCGGTCCGGGCATTTTTTAATTACAGCGGCCCACTAAAAAGGGGGCGTGGCCAGATAGGGTGTGTTTTGTCATCACCAATGACAAGCACGCCCCATCTCAAAGTGAGCATGTGGGTTCAATGCTCTTCCAGGGTAGACCATGCGCAGAGCTCTGCTGAAGAGCTCTGGCATGAGAAAAATATCCTCCATGAAATCTCGCGAGAGGAACCCGGCGGAGCTGTAAGTTAAAGTTCCTCCGGGTTCCTCTGCTGGCAGGCTGGCTCCCTCCTTCTCTCCCCAGGCGGCCGCAATATCCTGCATGTGGGCCGGTGAGGGAGATCTTTGATCTCCCCACCGGCCCGCTGTAGACTGCTGCAGGGCCGGCGCTCGGATAGTGCGGGCCCTGCAAAGACCGGTAGGGGAGATCCTGTGGTCTCCCTGCCGGCCTCGGCCCGCGGCCCACCGGACATTTGCCCGGTGTGCCCGATGGCCAGTCCGGGCCTGGTTGGTGGGAAAAAAAAGTTTAATTCTTACTCTACAATAGTCTACATTTTTCAAGTCTGTTGTTGACTCTCCACAAATTTCTGTTTAAAACGTGAAAAAAAATAAGCTTTCATAAATGACAAATGCAACAAAAAAATGAGTTTTGTGTGCCTGTAATGTTTGCCCCCCAATACTTTATACCAGCGGTTCCCAAACTGTGTGCACACAGGGGAATTACTACTAAACAGGGGCCCGATCTGGTGCCTCAGTGCTGAAGGGGTTAAAACCCCTTTAGCCACTTACCTTAATCCATCATCGTGCTCTCTCGGCGCTGGTGACCTCTCCTTCCCGCCGTCAGCTCCCGAGTGGAGCCGCGTGCGTGTATTCAAACCCGCTCATAGTAAAAAGCATTATTTTATGTTTTCCTATGGGGATCTTATTTGATGTTGGACTCCGAGAGGACATCCAGTGTCAGATAAGTGCGATTTACTCAGTGTACATCGCGGAAGCGGCCACCGCAGAAAACGTCTGAAATTAATTATTTTTATTTATTGTTTATAAAAAGCAATATAACCTTTAAACTCTATGGCACAGTACCAGAAAATAGATATGTTAAGTTACTTTTTTTTTTCTTTTTTTTTTTTAAGATTGGAGATATTTTTTTAACCTTAAATGATCTACATTTTACTTATCTGTTCGAGATACTGTAGAGTTTTTATTTTCTAGTGAGCATGGTTATTTTATTGGTTACAAAGTCAGGCAAGATCTACAACTCTTGCTATTATGGAGTGCTTTTCTCAGCCAACTCTTTCAGATACATGGCAATAACTTGGTCATCAAGTACCTTAGAATAGCCACTGTAGCCAGCATATATCCACATCGTAGGAAAGGTTCATCCTACTTTGAGTGATATTTACCAGCAGAGCCAATGGTGTAGATAAGAAACAGGTGAGATTTTTGGAACAGCAGTAATGAAGCCATAAGTATTAACCACTTAAAGGGACACTCCAGGCCCCTAAAGCACTATAGCTTGCTGAAAAGCTTTGTGTGGGAAGTGTGTCCCATTTTTATTTTATTTTTTCATTTTGCAAAAAGTGCAGATTTCAAGCTGACAACAGGTATTGTTACTTCCTGGTTTGGTTAGCTCAGTAGAGCTAAACTCAAGAGGCAGCAATTGCACAGAGCACCTACTTTTCAAAGAGTTCTTATTGAGATGGATTGGGAAGTTTGTGATTGGACAGCCAGAGGGGGAATTGCAAAGGCTTCAGACAGGAGAACTTCAGGTTTTGTAAGCTGCTTTTAGATATATCCCCAATAATACAATGCATAGTTCAACCATGCACGTTTTCATTTGGGGTATGTCTACTTAGTGATTTTTGATTTATTTATTTTTTTATACGTTTTTAAGTTTTAGCTCACCTTGCCAATATCCATAGACTTATCATTCACAAAGTGGTATAAACCATTTAGGCAATTTATACACACTTTATAGATAATGTACATTGTCACATACAATTCTACAAAAAAAAAAAAAAAATCCGTGAAAGAAAACACTTTTATACAGTCTATAATGTTTTCCAAAATGTGCAAATTTCAGAGCATCAGAAATTCTGATTTTTATTTATTTTGTTTTTGGGCAATGGAGTGTAACTTTTAACAATATTAGATCGTGTATTACATTCTAACTATGCTGGGACTTAATGCTGTTAGGGCATAATGACACGAACTGAGTTTTGATGTGAGTAAGGTTAAATTCCTGCTCATACCAGAGACCCATTTATGATTCATTTATGCCCAGGCTGACTGATAAGCTGTATGCAGCCCTGAAAGTATATTTGGTTTATTTTTTATTGAGGACAGTAGTTTGGAGCAGCATTAGTAAGGGCTTTGTAGGTCAGAGTGAGAAACTTGAATTTAGTTCTGCTTCTAATGAAGAGCATTGAAGGGACTCACTGAGAGGTGTGACAGATTCTGAGTGATTGGTAAGGTGGATTAGCCTGGTAAAGGCATTTATGATGGTTGAAGAAAGTAGAGTCGAGAGAGGAAGGGCAGATAGTCTGTTATTGCAGTAGTCGAGATAAGAAGGGAGTAGGTGGTTGAGGCAGAATGGGGAAACTAATTTGTGGAGATAAAAGAAAGATTGGAGTTAAATGTACCTTGAAGTGATGGAGCGATAGTGATGCCTTCAACAGAGACAAAAAAGAAAAAATGCAAAAATGGTAGAAGAGCTAGAGGGAGGAATTAGGAATTCAGTCTTGGATATATTGATGCAAATGATTGATTACCCCTTACTGTAAAATGATATAGATCTCGATGTGGAGTAATACGAAAAGAGAAAAAAAACTGAACAAATCTAGTGCAGATGGTACTTTAAAGGTGATGAATGCAAAGTAAATATAAGTAGACACATTCACAACCTTTAGAGCCGGAGGATGAGGCTCTATAGTAGTCCATTTTAAATATCCACTCTTTTTCTTCGTCCCGCTAGAAGTGAGGTCACTTGCTGGCGGTCTTTGATAATGTGTATCTTAGGCTGAGTCTACTTGTGTTGCGTCACTACCTGTAGATTTAGCCGAAGATACACATCTTTAAAGACTGCTAGGGAGTGACCTCACTTCCGGCAGGATGAAGAAAAACCACTACATACATCATAGTAATTTGCCTATAAAGCTCAACGATTGGAGGATATGCATCACGTGACCGCAAAAGATGAATAGAGCATGGATATTTAAATGGATTCTTGGACCTGGAATACATCACAGCCAACTGAAGCTTTAACAGCGAAATGAGTTTTGGCACAAAAGGACTGAACTACCACAGACTGATAAGTTCCTTTTTATTTATATTTATACATGTTTATACAATTTTTGATTTTAAATATAGATTTCAAATAATTGGATTTTACCAACATTTGGCAGTCAGTCCTGTTCCAGATTGGGCAGTGTCACCCCACAAATTGACACAAGGCGCACATATGGGCTCTTAAGGTGAGAGCAGTGGCATACATACCACGGTCACAGGTGTCGCCGCTGCGACCGGGCCCCTCACTCCAGGGGGCCCAGCAGCAGCCACGACCGTGGGCCGCCTGCACAGCCTCTGGGCCAGTGCACAGATGCACGAGCCCAGGGAATGCGCTTGTCGGCAGGAGGGGGAGAGCTCTGTGTGTAGCGTAGTCAAGCGGTCTGAGAGCACTTCCTGTATGACCGGGAACCACGGCGCGCAGTGAGCAAGTACAGGAGGGGGGTGGGTTGGGGATGACACCCATGGAGGGGGGTTTGGTGGTGACACACATGGAGGGGCTGGGGAGGGGTTGGATTGGTTGACACACATGGAGGGGCTGGGAAGGAATTATATATTTTACATATCCCAGAAAGATAATTTGGTTATTAATGTTTGACTCCTGCATTTTAATTTTTGGGGTCCAATGTTCTATATTCTTCTTATTCAATGTTTAACGCAACATATTGTTATATTAAGGTAATGTATGTTAAATATAACCTTGATTTCCATAGGGATGACTTTACTTATCACCTTACCTGAGCCAAATAGACATACAGACCCATAAAATTAATATACCTGCAAGTTAAAATTTCCTTTTGCATGAAACATAATATGTAGTTGAAAGAATCCCAATCTAAGCGTGACCATCCATTCCAATGAGATTCCTGACAGTGATATGATAATTGCATTATAGTGCCCTCTGGTGCTTACAGTCCTGCTTCCCTCATACCTTTAAAAGTTAATGAAAGTGTTTAAAACAGCTGTCTCTGCTTCAATGATTTAATGTTATTCTTGGGAAAAGGAAGCCAGGGACGACATTAATGTCAGTTTGTAGGACGCCCTCTGCATCTTCCTTGTGACAGAATTTTTATCTACATAGTAATTGAGGTTTGAAATAAGGCATAAGTCCATCATGTTCAAATGTCCCAGATGTCTTTTGCTGCTGTTGATTCAGAGGAAAGCAAACAATCCCACAATTCAATGTTTTCCCACAAGGCAATACAATCTACTTCAGAATCGAAAGCTTTTTATATTCTTAGAACTCTATACAACACTGCAAAACACACACAGAATCTGCATTCCAGAACAAATTCCGATAACCTGCCAAACATAGAAACGTCTTCAGACTTCTCACCCTGATTTTTCTGAACATATACTTAGAAAAACATTTTCACATTTCCTAATTTCCTTTATTAACAGTTTTTTTAGTTATGGAGGAATGCTAGGAAAGTTTTACTTCCTTTTAAGGGGACAGTTTGAGTAATCATTTTTTGAATTTCTCTAGCTGTAAGTAGTTCAAATCCGTATAGAGTGTCTTTTCTATTAACCCATTTCCTTTCTCCTTAGGGAGCTGACAAGACTGTGAAAGGGCCAGATGGACTCAATGCCCTGGAATCCACAGACAACCAGGCTATTAAGGAGCTTCTTCATTGATGGACTGGATTCTCTGCCTGCACAGTTTGCCTCTTGTGTGGCCTCTCACTGCTGCCTGTATTTCCTTTTTCTATCTGCCAATTTCTTCATCTCCTCACCTTAAGTTGGAGGATGTATGGTAAAACAGAGAGCATCAACCTCAATTAGATTGAATCAAAGCAAGATTGTAGACGGATGAACTGGGATTTTACTGGTGTCTTAAACAGCATGGGATGTTAAAAAAAAAAAAAAGAATGTAACTCACTCAATTCCAGCCCTTAAATTGTATCATGGAGTGATTTTCTTTTACAGTTTATGAAATAAAAATTTAATGTATAGGATATTTTAATCCTCTTTATTAACACCCACACATTGTTCCCTAATTATAATCTGATTGCAGAAAATGTGCGCGCCCAGTTTACCTTTGCATCTAGCTCTGTATTGTATATATTAACATGTAATGCATTTAAAGACAACTAAGGCTATAATAGAAAATGATCTTCAATTTTAGAGCATTGCTTTTTTGGCAGAACTTACTTTTTTCTAAATGTTACAAAATGCCTTCACATGGAAGAACGTTTGTTTCACTTGTCTTTTTCTTGCTTAAGGTGTTCTTTGCTTCAGACCATCTGCAAATAGCACCAGCCACCTAGTGCAAATGACCTATTCAAGAGTAATTAAAATAGGTCACTGTTATCTTGGGAGATTTGATGTACAAGGCACCTCTCCTCTTGCTTTAAAGTGACTTTTTAACAAATTAAATTTTCTTGGGATTTCATTTTAATCCTCTCAAACTCCTCGATAAATGGTATCACTCGACCCCATGCAATGATGGCAACCTTATGTTCCATTCATATAACCATATTTACACGCATTTGTCTGTTCTATTTGATTACACAGATATTAAAATATGCAGTTTCTCTTGTACATCTACTATCTACGTCAAAAAAGCAAAAGTATATTTTATGCTTGGGCAGCTTGCATGGAAATCATCACTTTTGGTTAAAAGGAGACAGAAATCTGTAGAATATAAAATATTACATGCCAGTGGTTTTGTCAGGGGTACTTAATTTTTTATAATTTTTTTTTTTTTTTTTGTTAGGCACTCAAATATTTACATGGCATTAGCTATGTAAAGTTATTCATCAGTTATCCATGTTTTATTTGTAACATGGACTATCGAACAAATAAGGTTTGCAAGTCTGCCTTGTTAAGATCTGCCTAGTGTCACAAGGTCTTAATTGTTTACTGCCTACCCCAGGGCAATGTATTGTGGTCCATTGCCTGAGGTCTCATCTGTTCTTACTTATGAGGGTACATTAATAGCATAGTGACCCACCTGTGCTTCTCAGCTGAGGAGTTAAGAACCTCTGATTTCACCATGGCTCTTTTTTGCAGTTTGCGTTCTGTTTATTGTAAAATATCCATAGTAAACTAGTTAATATTGTCTGCATTGCATGACCATTTTTGCTTTGCTGAAGCCTATATTTTATATTCTACAGTATGTTGGCAGACCTTTATTCTTTATTACATCATTCATTTAAGTAACATGACAATTATATAATTGCAGTGCTTTTTGAAATGTTTACCTTTTGGGGGGTGGGGAATTATGATGTAAGGTAGAAACCTATTTGGGAGCAATGCAACTTCAAGAAAGGGGAACACAGCTGAACACAGTAGCTTTTGCAATCCACCGATGGTCAAATAATTATTGTTCCAACCATCATATAATGACATCCTGGATATACGCATTAATAATAACCCTCATACATTAACCGAAACCTCTATGTTGTTAAGCACACGATAGATTACCTGGTTTTAGTAATCACGTTTAAAACATGCAAGCAAAGGAATTGAGCCCATTTGTTACTTCTGTGGCTTTATATCTCCTTAATCGCTCTATACGGAAATTGCTTTAAACTAGATTCCTTTATTTGACATAACTTTTTAGATTTAGATCATGAATGTATGACTCACACTAGGGCTTCTATTAATTTCGTTGACTGTTTCATCATCAAAAGGAAACACAGAGGCCTTCAAATTGAGACAAAAGATTTGTTTTTGTTATTTTTAATCACTTAATGAAGTTATTCTGCTGTTACTATGTTGCAGACCAACTCCCATGTTCATTTTCAATTTATTTTTTTATTCTGCCTGAACTAAGCTGCTACTCATTGTCACAGTAGTAAGAGGCTAAATTAAATTTTGACTTGATCTAACTTTCATCCATTTGTGATGGTATTATTTCATTTATGTATCTTGTATTTTAAATGTTTCATGTCATGCACTATTGTCTGATTAATGGATATTTATCTTTTGTCTGATCTACACTAAGCACATGTAACCAATTGGTAATTGTAGTGTCAATTACATTAAAATGCATAAAAGTAAAGGTATCTGCTACTTTTAAAGCAGCAGATCAATATATGTTAACCTGTATACTCACTGGACTTTAGCACAACCACTGATTATCTAAAAGTTCACCAGAGGCTAAATTAAATGACTGTATATTTCCTGGAGGTGATGGTGGGTGTTGGTGGAATGCTATCCTACTCTTTGCTGTTTCTTCCCACTCTCAGCAAACATTCATTGCTGATCATAAGAACACACAATTTCAAAATGAAAGGAAAGCCAATCCAATGATTGTGTTAGGAACATTAGAAATAACTGCAGATTGGTTATGTTCTGTTTAGCTTACAGCCAAATTGTTAGTAGACACACACGTTATACCTCTCACAAAGTGTATGGAAACAGTTAAAGGAGCACTATATGGTCAGGAACACAAACATGTATTCCTGACCCTGTAGGGTTAAAACCACCATCTAGCCCCCCCTTGCCTCCCTAAAAATATAGTAAATATTACTTGTATTCAAGCCTGAAGCTGCTGGCTTTGTCACAGTTTCCTTTTGACCTGCCCACTGCCTGTTGACATCAGCAGAAGTGGTAGCCTGATCCAATCACAATGCTTCCCCATAGGATTGGCTGAGACTGACAAAGAGGCAGATCAGGGGCAGAGCCAGCATGATTCAAACACAGCCCTGGCCTATCAGCATCTCCTTACAGAGATGAATTGAATCAGTGAACCTCTATGAGGAAAGTTCAGTGTCTGCATGCAGAGGGTGGAGACACTGAATGTTTGAATGCATTTTAGGCAGCCATGACCCAGGAAGGATCTCTAACAGTTATCTGAGTAGTAGTCAGTGAAGTCACTAGGCTGTAATGTAAATACTGCATTTTCTCTGAAAAGACAGTGTTTACAGCAAAAATCCTGAAGGTAATGATTCTACCCACCAGAACAAATTAAATAAGCTGTAGTTGTTCTGGTGACTATCCCTTTAACTTGTTTTAACCCTATTTTTTTCTAGTTGCTTATTGTGTAGCTGAACACTGGCCTTACGTTTGTTGTGTTTATTCATATTATCATCACATTTGGATTTGTTAAGAAGAACAATGCAGTCTAACGGGTCGAATTAGCCCATCCATCGTTTCTTCCATAAGGTGGTACAAAAAAATAAGATTTAGGTGTATGAGATGATTCTCTCTGTGCCATTTCTTTTACACGTTAAACTATACATTCCTAGTGATTACCAATGTTTTCTTTTGTTTTAATAAAAAATTCATACATTAGAAAATATGAGCAAAGTATACCTTGCATAAGAAACATATGTCAGTACATTTGCAGTGGTGAAAGAGCAAAGGATTTTTCAGTTATGCTGATCACCTGACACCTTTCACATATTCTATGTTTATTAACCCCTTACCGACCGCTGACATATCAGGTAAATTAAACAAAAAACGGTCCTTAAGGACCGCGTACATACCTGATACGTCCGCGGCTAATTAGAGCGCTGGAAGCGATCATGATTGCTTCCAGCCGCTATGATGGTATTGCAGCGATGTCGAAGCATCGTGTAATACCTCTCCTTACTGCCGGCGCCAGGTGATTGTGGCAGGCTTCCAATGTTCTGCCTGTGCTGAGGGGTTGAGGCACTCAGTGAAGATAATAAAAATAAAGAAATGTACGCTATAACCTCCTTCCGCCTCCCCCTCCCACCGACATGTGACTCCCATGATGGTGCTGCCTTTCTAAAGGCAGTGCATCATGGGGCTTCTGGGGGTGTCCCTAGCCTGCCTCATCCTAGAAGCAGGCTAGGGACATCCAATTAGAGCTTGCCCCTATAACAATGTTTATTCTAACTGATCATCATTTGTTTGATAAGGTCAATATTAGTAAATATTGACTCTGATCAGTGTTGATCTCCCTCCCTCTCTTCACTTATGTTTTAGTGAGAGAGGGAGAGAGATCTGTGTTTTAGTGATTAAGATCATGTCACATAGGTCGTATAGTGCTGAGGAGGCGTATGCCATCCTTGCGTTAGTCTGACACGTTTGTCTGATTTTTGACCCTTCCAGGTGCTCAGATACATCACTAGATACAGTGTCTGCTGCTAGTGATGTATCTAATTATGATGTATCTGTGGCTGCTAGTCCCCCTGCCAGAAGGAGATGTGCTGCTCCAGCTGGCAGTACTACTAAGGAGTGGGTAGTGCCTCATTGCCAGAGGCCAGATATCCCACCCTTCACTGCAAATCCTGGCATCAATGTGGATGTCGCAGGATTTAGCCCTCAGCAGTTTATGGAGGAGTTTCTGAGCGATGATGTATTGGGGAACATTATTGCTTAATTTATATGCTGATCAGTTCCGTGCTGCAAAGCCTGACCCTTTTTTGGCAAAGCAGCAATGGGCCCCCATCGATGTGCCAGAATTAAACAAATTCTGGGCATTGACTATGCTGATGGTCATCCTGTATCCGCTCCTACTGGAGCAGTACCCCCATTTACTACCGGTGTATGTCGAGGAAGAGATATGAAATGATTCTACATTTCATGCACTTCAGCGACAACAGCCTTTGCTCCCCAAGGGAGCATCCCCATTTTGACAGGCTGTATAAAATCTGCCCCCTGATTACCCATTTCGCTGCCAGGTTTGCAGAGGCTTATACACCTGGAAGGAATATATGTGTGGATGAAACCCTGATGAAGTATAAGGGAAGGCTGGGATTCTAGCAGTATATTCCTTCCATGCGCTCCAGGTATGGTGTAAAGGTGTGAGAGCGAGATTGGGTATACTAAGGCTTTCCGGTTGTACGAGGGAAAGGATAGCCACCTTGACCCTCCTGGGTGCCCATAACATGGAAACCAGTGGCAAGATTGTCTGGGACCTGATATTCCCCCTGATGAACAAAGGATACCACTTGTATACAGACAATTTTTAAACAAGTGTCCCTTTGTCTCTATTGTTTTGATACAGTAGCTTGTGGTACAATAAAGAACCATGCAGGTTTCCCAGGACAACTTGCACGCACGCGGCTACGAAGGGAGGGAGACCTCGGCTCTGTGCCAAGAGGAGTTGTTGGCAGTTAAGTACAGAGACCAGAAGGATGTGTACCTTCTTACCACCATCTACACAGAGTGGACTGTGGATGTCTCTGTACGTGGCAGAGCTGAGAGCTCAAGAGAGCCAGTGTGCATCAAGGCCTATAAAGGCATATGGGTGGGGTTGATCTGGCAGATCAGCTGTTACAGCCCTACCTAAATAAACAGAAGACAAGGGCCTGGTACAAAAAGGTTGAAATCTTCTTAATGCAGATTGCAACCCACAACGCCTTTTTGTTCAAAAAAGCAAACCATGGAATGCAACTTTTTATTTTTTAACATTTACCGTTCAGCTTTCTATTAGTTACGTTTACCCTGTGTATGGAGGGCATGGGTGTACTCAGGAGACCTTGCAGAAAGCAACCTGGTGTGTTTTCTTGCAATAACCAACAACAGGCTCTCCTAAATCACAGTCAAAAAGCAATGTGTGTGTAAAAATTAACATTGAAAAATTACCACCACACACTTTCTCAAATATATTGGACTAGAACGGTTGCATCAAAGGCTTTAAAGCACTCCATATACAATACCTCGGGGTGTCTACGTTTCAGCTATATACACTTTCATGGCAATAAATAAAACTGGGGTACGTGATAAGCCCCAAACTAAAGATAGGCCTAAATCGCAAATATCTAAATTTCAACTCAAATTACAAGTCATACAATTTAAACTGATGTTTCCTGAAATCCTGGCAGCCCCATGCATGGGGGGCATGGGTGTACTCAGGAGGCCTTTCAGAAAACAACCTGGAGTGTTTTCTTGCAATAACCAACAACAGGCTCCCCTAAATCACACACACAAACGTGTGTGTAAAAATAAAAATTACCACCACAATTTTTTTTTTACTAAAATGATTGCATCAAAGGCATTAAAACACTCCAAATACAATATCCTTGGGTTGTCAACTTTTCAAACATATGCATGCTCAGGGCAAGAAAATAAATTAGGATATCTAAAAAGGCCCCCAAAAAGAAGATATGTCAAATTTGAAAAACATATGTCAGAAGTTTGGTATTGCACTCCGCAAACAACCCAACAAACCTATGCATAGGTGGTATCACGGTACTCAGGAGATGTTGCTGAACACATATTGGGGTGTTCTTTGGCAGTAACACTTAACAGGAGCTGAGAATCCATGTCTAAAGTAGAATGTGTGTGGAAAAATAACACAAAAAAATGACTACCCAAAAGTTTGACAAAGCCTGGTGGTAGAATTAGTGCATGGAAAGTGTTAAAATACAACCATTTGAAATACCCTAGGGCAGTGATGGCAAACCATTTTGAGCCTGAGTGCCCAAACCGCAATACATGGCAACTTTTTCCTCAAAGTCCCAACACAGCAATTAAACCTGAATACGGAGGTTTAAGTTTATAAAAAAAAACAACTCGTACAGTTGTCTGAAATAATTAACATCTTTTGATTTAAAGCTGACACACCTGTACATGGGTGGTATCACTGTACTCAGGAGATGTTGCTAAACACATATTGGGGTGGTTTTTTGGCAGTAACACTTAACAGGAGCTGAGAATCCATGCCTAAAGTAGAATGTGTGTGAAAAATAAAGCCTGGTGGTAGAATTAGTGCATTGAAAGTGTTAAAATACCACCATTTGAAATACCCTAGGGTGTCAACTTTTCAAAAATATATGGTTTGATGGGGGTAAATTACATTGTCCGGCTTCAAAAATGTCCCAAATGGGACATGGGTGCACGAGGACCAGCTGCAAAATTCCAAGTTGGAAAACAGATCTTTTAGTACCCAGAGAACCCGACACATCTGTACATGGGTGGTATCACTGTACTCACGAGATGTTGCTGAACACATATTGGGGTGTTCTTTGGCAGTAACCCTTAAAATGCTCAGTACAAGTATTCTTAAATTGCTATGTGTGTCAAAAAAAATCACCAATTATTATTTTTTTTTAAATTTGGCATTGATTGGTGGTAAAATGGTTGCATAAAAAGTGCACGAAAAGAGTCAATATACCCCAAGTTTAATATGTTAGGTTGTCTTCTTTTAAAAAATATATACATGTGAAGGGTTATTCAGGTATTCCTTACAGATATCATTGTTACAATGTAACTTGCGTTAATTAAAAAAAAAAAAGTTTGGAAATAGCAAAGTGCTGCTTGTACTTATTGCCCTATAACTTGCACAAAAAAAAAGCTAAGAACATGTTAACATTGGGTATTTCTAAAATCAAATAAAAATGTAGACACTATGTAGCATAGGTGTTTTTTTTGGCGGTTGTAGATGTGCAACCGATCTTGGGGGTCAAAGTACGAAAAGGTGTGTTTTTAAAAAAAAATTAATTTTCATTTTTTTTTTATAGTAAATTTATGATATGATGAAAATAATGCTATCTTTTGAAATACCATTTAATGGCGAGAAAAACGCCAAAAAGTGTATGAAATTACACTTGAGGTACCTTCACGAGTCTAATAAAACAAAAAACAAAAATTTCAGTTACTAAAGATTGTGCTTGCAAGGTAATGTGTGTAATTTTTTTTTTTTTTTTTTAATCATTTTAAATCCTTTATCTACTAGGCCTCTAAATTGTTCTTTAACCCCATAAGGACCAAACTTCTGGAATAAAAGGGAATCATGACATGTCACACATGTCATGTGTCCTTAAGGGGTTAATATAGTATATACATAATACTCCTACATGTGTTGATTAATGCAATTTTAATTTTTTTAATAGATTTGATATACACTGACACAATAGACATTTGTTACAGAAACCGTTCTTTGCATATATCCTACATTGACACTATGACAGATGCACAAAAAAATAGTTACTGATTTCATATTGGGAAAAAAAATAGGGCTCAATCAATTCTCACTTATCTTTTATGATGTCAAGTGAGATAACAATAAGATTTTGTTTTTGTATAAATTAAACCGAATTGAAGTTATGTTGGTTTTACAGTGACAGAATGACAGGTAGGGTGAAAACATGTCGTATCTAAGCAGGAAACAAAGAAAAGTGTGAGCGTCTCTTGACATTCCAATACAAGGGGTAAGAAGAGTGAATTGCAAGTCCTATGATTCATTGTAACGGATGAACAGATATTCCCCTTAGAAATTAATGTAATCTTATATGTCCTTGTTCTTTGGAATATTACGTAGATGGGTTAGCAAGATTGCTGTGCAATATTTTTTTCTTTCTCTAATGTGATCAATTTCAAATTAACAAGCAAAAACAAACTGTATAGGCACTTGAAGTTAAAGAGGAGGAAAGATCAATATTTTCTTTAATTTTACATATTTTTTCTTTGTATACATTGGTCAGCATTTGGGAGTTGCAGGGAGTTTACTTGGCTAATTAAACCATTTTTGACAATTGTTACTGTCCAGTGTAGATTTTTTTTGATGGACTTTATGAAATAACTCCATCCGGTTTTGCCCCCTTGGCAGATGCTGTTGGTCCCTATGAATAGGTGAAACTCTGATGTGCTTGGAGAATATATTTGAAGCCCAAAGGGGAAGACTTTTAACACGTTTGGCCAGTGTTATGCTGATGAAAGTAGTATACATTGAGGGGAAAAAAAAGTATTTGATCCTCTGCTGATTTTAAACGTTTGACCACTGACAAAGAAATTATAAGTCTATAATTTTAACGGTAGTTGTATTTTAACAGTGAGAGACAGAATTAAAAAAAAAAAATCCAGAAAAAGGCATGTCAAAAAAGTTATAAATTGATTTGCATAGCAATGAGTGAAATAAGTATTTGACTCCTTAGACTTAGTAGTTGGTAGCAAAACCCTTCTTGGTAATCACAGAGGTCAGACATTTCTTGTAGTTGGCCACCAGGTTTGCACACATCGCAGGAGGAATTTTGTCCCACAACTCTTTGCAGATCCTCTCCACATCATTAAGGTTTCCAGGCTGACTGTTGGCAACCTGAACCTTCAGCTCCCTCCACAGATTTTCTATGGGATTAAGGTCTGGAGACTGGCTTTGCCACTCCAGGACCTTAATGTGCTTCTTCTTGAGCCACTTCTTTGTTGCCTTGGCTGTGTGTTTTGGGTCATTGTAATTCAGGAATACCCATCCACGACCCATGTTCAATGCCCTGGCTGAGGAAAGGAGGTTCTCACCCAAGATTTGATGGTACATTGCCCCCCATCCATCGTCCCTTTGATGCAGTACAGTTGTCCTGTCCCTTTAGGATAAAAACATAGAAACATAGAATGTGACGGCAGATAAGAACCATTCGGCCCATCTAGTCTGCCCAATTTTCTAAATACTTTCATTAGTCCCTGGCCTTATCTTATAGTTATGCCTATCCCACGCATGCTTAAACTCCTTTACTGTGTTAACCTCTACCACTTCAGCTGGAAGGCTATTCCATGCATCCACTACCCTCTCAGTAAAGTAATACTTCCTGATATTATTTTTAAACCTTTGTCCCTCTAATTTAAGACTATGTCCTCTTGTTGTGGTAGTTTTTCTTCTTTTAAATATAGTCTCCTCCTTTACTGTGTTGATTCCCTTTATTTATTTAAATGTTTCTATCATATCCCCCCGTCTCTTCTTTCCTCCAAGCTATACATGTTTAGATCCTTTAACTTTTCCTGGTAAATTTTATCCCGCAATCCTCTCTAAGGTATCAATATCCTTCTGAAGATATGGTCTCCAGTACTGTGTACAATACTCCAACTGAGGTCTCACCAGTGTTCTGTACAATGGCATGAGCACTTCCTTCTTTCTACTGCCTCTCCCTAAACAACCAAGCATTTCCGGCTGCTCTATTACAAGTCATCAGAAATAATCGCCCCTAAATCCCTTTCCTCATATGTTGAGGTTAGGACTCTATCAAATATTCTGTACTCTGCCCTTGGGTTTTTACATCCAAGATGCATTATCTTGCACTTATCCACATTAAATGTCATTTGCCACAATTCTGACCATTTTTCTAGTTTACCTAAATCATTTGCCATTTGGCTTATCCCTCCTGGAACATCAACCCTGTTACATATCTTAGTATCATCAGCAAAATGACATACCTTACCATCAAGACCTTCTGCAATATCACTAATAAAAATATTAAAGAGAATGGGTACAAGTACAGATCCCTGAGGTACCCTACTGGTGACAAGTCCAAGCTTCGAATATATTCCATATATATTCTCTGTTGCCTGTCACTCAGCCACTGCCTTACCCATTCAACAATATTGGAATCCAAACTTAAAGATTGCAGTTTATTGATAAGCCTTCTATGTGCAACAGTGTCAAAAGCCTTACTGAAATCTAGGTAAGCAATGTCTACTGCACCACCCTGATCCATAATTTTAGTTACCCAATCAAAAAAATCAGTTTGGCATGATCTCCCTGAAGTAAACCCATGTTGTCTCTGATCTTGAAATCCATGTGTTTTTAGATGTTCATCAATCCTATCCTTTAACATGCTTTCCCCACTACTGAAGTAAGGCTTACTGGCCTATAGTTGCCGACTCCTCCCTATTACCTTTCTTGTAAATGGGCACAACATTCGCTAACTTCCAATCTTCTGGGATTACTCCTGTTAACAATGATTGGTTAAATAAATCTGTTAATGGTTTTGCAAGTACACCACTAAGCTCTTTTAATAGCTTTGGGTGTATGCCATCAGGTCCCATTGACTTATTTGTCTTTACTTTTGACAGTTGAAATAGAACCTCTTCCTCAGTAAACTCACGTGTTATAAATGACTCATTTATCCTTTTTCTCAACTGAGGTCCCTTTCCTTCATTTGCATCTGTAAATACAGAACAAAAATATTCATTGAGGCAGTCAGCTAGACCTTTATTCTCTTCTATATACCTTCCTTCTTTTGTTTTTAATCTAACTAATCCTTGTTTTACTTTTCTTTTCTCATTTATGTATCTAAAAAATGTTTTATCCCCTTTTTTTTACTGACTGTGCTATTTTCTCTTCTGTGTGTGATTTGGAAGCTCTTATAACTTGCTTAGCCTCTTTCTGCCTAATCTTATAGATCATTTTGTCTTCCTCACTCTGGGTTTTTTTATAATTCCTAAATGCTAACTTTTTGTTTTTAACTATTTTGGCCACATCTGTGGAGTACCACAGTGGTTTCTTGAATTTTTTGCTTTTACTGACAAGCCTAATGCAATTTTCTGTTGCCTTCAATAGTGCAACTTTTAAATAATCCCATTTCTCTTGGACTCTATTTAAATTGCTCCAGTCTGATAATGACTCCTCTACCCATATTCTAATTTTAGAAAAGTCTGTTTTTCTAAAGTCTCAAACTTTTGTTTTTGTGTGGTGTGACTCAGTCACTGTTCTTATATTAAACCACACTGACTGATGATCACTGGATCCTAAACTTTCACCTACAGTAATATCTGATACCAAATCTAGTATGGCCTCTTTACGAGTTGGCTTCTCAACAACTTGTTTTAGAGACAATCCCAGTAGGGAGTTTAGAATATGTGTGCTCCTGGCACAAGTAGCTAATTTTGTTTTCTAATTTACATCAGGAAGATTAAAGTCACCCATGAGGATAACTTCCCCCTTCATTGTCATTTTAGCTATTTCCTCAACTAGTAGATTATCTAAATCTTCAATTTGTCCTGGGGGGCCTATAAATCACACCTACATGTGTTACGGTGTGATTATCAAATTCTAACGTAACCCA